TGTATATATATATATATGTATATATATATATATATATATGTAGAGTTAAAGAGTTATGTATGTATGTAAATCTTCCTTTAAAATACGACTGCTACTGTTTCCTTCTTCCCCCTCACTTTCCCTCTCCCAATTTCAAAATTCTCTAAAATTTGCGCCGACGCCGTCGCCGCCTCTATCAATGGCTGCGACACAAAAGAAGAGAAAACCGGCAGCCATCGCAATCCCCACTAACGACATCGAAGATTTCTCCGAGTCCGAAACCCTAGACATCCGCTCCGCCCTTCTCCGCTGGTACGACGAGAATCTTCGAGATTTGCCATGGAGGGCGCCGGAAACCACCACCGGAACCCTTCTGACGCCGGCTGACGTGGAGCAGAGAGCGTACATGGTGTGGGTCTCGGAAGTCATGCTCCAACAAACTCGCGTCTCCACTGTGATCGGCTACTTCAATCGCTGGATGGAAAAATGGCCCACGATCCGCGATCTCGCAGCAGCCACTCTCGAGGGGGGAGCAGAAATCCCCCCTATAAATTGACTTTTTACATATTGTTTCCTCTGCTTCTTTCGTCAATATTTTCGTAATTCTGTGAAGGAGGTGAATGAGATGTGGGCTGGTTTGGGGTATTATCGGAGGGCTCGATTCCTCTTGGAGGTAAAATTTCTGTTATTTCATTCATGAAATATTGTGTGGTGATGGAATGATGTTGAGATTTTGGAATCTGGATGGAGATGAACAGGGGGCGAAGGCCATTGTTGATGAAGGGAAGTTTCCGAGATCTGCTTCAGAGCTTCGTAGAGTGAAGGGAATTGGAGACTACACTGCAGGAGCAATTGCTTCCATTGCTTTCAATGAGGTTTGTAAATTCTCATTCTCTTATGCAGTGTTCTTGCATTAGACCCTTTATTTTATAGAAGTTTGGTGTTGGATATGTAAATATATAGGAATTGGGTGTTATGTATGTAAATATCACATTAAATAGTGTTTTACATGCATAGCAATAGGGGTGTAAACGAGTCAAGTCGAGCTTGAGTTGTCTGCCAAATCGAGCTCGAGCTCGAGCTCGAGCTCGAGCTTGGCTCTTAGTGGTAGCAGCTGACTCGCGAGGTCAAACTAAAAATTCATTTTTTACGTGAGTTTACCTGGAAGGTATTGAATGCCTGAGGAGGAGAAGGAGGCACACGTAGCTCACCAGAAAATACATCGAAATGATTAGAGGTATGCTAATCAAGCTGGCTCAAGAGCCAACAAGCTGAGCCAAGACGAGCTCGAGCTCGTGGCTCAATAAGCTCAGCTCATGAGTTCGTTAACGAGCCAAGCCGGCTTGGCCCCTTTATACCCCTACATGGCACCCCTAACATCACTATTTACAAATCTAGTACCCATGTGAAATTTTTGAACTACTGAAACTAAATAGTTCCATGTGTCACGATCAAACCTTTAAGAATTTGATAAAAATGAAAAAATATGTGGTTGGGGTTTTATCACGAATTTTGATATTTGAGTGAGAGAATTTGAAAAATGGTGAGAATTTGAAAAATGGATGAAAGTGGATGCTAGATTCGTAAATAGCAAGGTTTTGGGTCTAATTGCCCCAAAAAAAAAAATAAAATAAAATAAGGGTTTTTGCATACATAACACCCAATTCCTACATATTTACATACCCAACACCGAACTTTTGTATTTATGCCTTCCCAAATCTTTCATATCACATCACATAATACCACCATTTTAACTTTTAAAAAGTGAAGTACATCTTTTCTTGCATGGACAAAGTGGCGTGTATATAAAATTGAAGTTTAGGTGATAGATATGTAAATACATAGAAATTGCGTGGTATGTATGTAAACTTCTGTTTCATCTTTTTGTGAAAATGTTTTTGCAAGTTTAGGTGGTGCCTGCGGTGGATGGTAATGTTGTGAGGGTAATTACAAGGCTCAAAGCTATCTCTGCAAACCCAAAAGAAGCTGGAACTGTGAAGCTTTTATGGTAAAAGTCTTATAATCTTAGCGTTGGTAATTTACATCGAGCAATTACAATTTTTAATTTAGGTTCCATTTGTTAAGATTTGTTTTTTACATGAATGAAAGATTGGCTTTTTTTTTAATTATAATAGTCTTTAAAAATTGCATATAAATGCCTTAATATTTTGCCGTTTGTCATACTTTTCAAAGCAATTGCTTTCATTATTCTTAAATTTGTCTGCAAATTGAAATTACAGAATTTCATTCCATTTAAATATGATAGAAATGCCATTTGCTGATTTTTAAGCCAATCTTGATCCAATTTGGGTTAAGATATTTTGATTCAACTTTTTTTTTAATAGCCTTGGAGTACTGAGATAGTCCAGCCCTATTTGTTATAAGGAAGATTTACATGCATGCCACTCACTTCCTGTGTATTTACATATCTAATACCTAAACTTCACTTTCTTTATATATATACCACCTTATTTATACTTGAAAATGTGTATTTCGCTTTTTAAAAGTTAAAACAGTGGTATATTTGTTGTGATATGAAAGATTTGGGTGGTGTAGATGTACAAAATAAAAGTTAGGTGTTAGATGTGTAAATACATATGAATTAAGTGGTATGCATGCGAATGCCCCTTGTTATGAATAAAACTTACTAATCCAACTTACTGTTTAGGATGAGAAGAGCTGAAGCTAATCTTAAGGAATCAATAATATTGCTAGTCCTAATCAAAGTATAAAAAGGAGAACTTGAGAATCAAGACGTTTTGCTCTAGTTAGGCCATGCATAAGCCTCGAAGCTGATCGAAGCGTAAGCCTCTAAAAAGAAAAAAAAAAAACTTAAAAAAATTAAAAATATTTCCTAAATATGATACAAATCATTGATATATTGATTTAGTTTATTATCATAAAGATATACACCACAAATCATAATATTAAATAAAAATTTAAAATATGATTCAAGGTAAACATTCACTTAAATTTTAAATATTTCATTAAGTTCAAGATCCATAGTATACTCGTCCTTACCTTCATCATCTTCAAAAGAATCATCATATTTGCGATCATCTAATTTTATCTCATTTGCAATTTTAAAATATTCTTCATTCAGTGCAATTTTCTTCCTTATATTAAATAATCTGAAATCCAAATAATTTAAATAAAAAAAATAAATTAATAACATAATCAAATAATCATATTTAAATTAATTTAAACCTTTTTAAAGTATTGTATATGACATTAAATATAATATAATATTATATAATATACTTTTATTTTGCATAACTTTGATCAAGACGTTGCCTCAAACTTCTCGAGGCATAAATCATCGAGATGTATTCCCCAGATGGAGAAGGCATAAGTCTCATTGGTGACATTGAAGCTTAAGCCTCAAGACTTTATTTGACTGCCTTGCTCCTTGATACCTAGAAACAAAGGGTCTAATCCATATGGGATTATTTGAACTGTCGAATTAGCCGAGTTAGATTAACTCTAGGGCTGGCTGTCAATTGGGATTCATTCCATGCCTAAACCTAATTTTCCTAAGAGTTTTATCGCCTTTCATTGTAACACATGTAATCTCATCTTCTTCCTAGGAAACTGGCAAGGCAATTGGTTGATCATTTAAGGCCTGGTGACTTCAATCAGGCCATAATGGAACTAGGAGCAACTTTATGCAGTTCAACAAATCCTACCTGTTCTAAATGCCCAGTTTTCGATCAATGCCGAGCATTTTTACTGTCGAAAAAGAGCGAGAAATTAAAGGTCACTGATTACCCAACAAAGGTAGCAAAGACCAAACAAAGACAAAATTTTGCTGCAGTTTCTGTAGTTGAGATAGCAGAGTTTGATGAGCAGGTTTTGAATTATAACGGTCAAAAATCTGTGTTTCTTCTGGTGAAGAGACCTGAAAATGGATTGCTTGCTGGGCTTTGGGAGTTCCCTTCAGTTATATTGGACGAAGGGAGTATGAATCAATGCATGAGGAGGAAAGAAATTGATAATTATCTGAAGAAATTTTTTGAACTTGATGTTGGAGAAAATTGCAGAGTTATGTTGAGAAAAGATGTTGGTGAATACATTCATGTTTTTTCTCACATAAGGCTTCAAATGTATGTTGAATTGTTGGTTTTAACTCTCAAAGGTGCATAATAGTCACTTTCTTATAGAAATTTTTTATCTTTTTTGTTACAATTTTTTATTTTTTTCTAACATTTCACTATTTTTTCTGCTTTTGGTGAATTTACATATCTCACAACTAGGCGTTGTTTGGTGGCATATTATTTATAGGATTTAGCCATGATCGAGCATAAATCCAGCCAAAAACCAAAAAGAAAGTTAGGTCCAATGCTCGGTGAAATCCAATTTTCTCACATTCCGTCTTTCTCTTCCTTGGTTCCATCATTTTTACGCAGTAAGTCTGGATTTAGTAAATCCGATTGCGAGCCGGATTTATTCCGCCATCTTACATGAGTTCTTCAGTCGCAGTGTCAATCTGATAAATCCAGATTTATTGGATTTGATAAATATTATTTAACGTAAAACTAAGTTGCAGCCAAACACCGCCCTAGAGTTTCACATTTACATATATATATCAATTTGATGCTTTAATTATACGTGGAAAGGTGTATTTCACTTTTAAAAGGTCGTAAAAGTGCTATTTTTGATGTGATATTAAAGATTCAAGTGTTATGTGTGTAAATATAAAAGTTTAGGTGTGAGATATGTAAATACATAAGAATTGTATGCTATGTATGTAACTGCCACTTATTTATTTTTCTAACATTCAACTAATTCTGTTGCATTTTGAATCTGCAGAAGGATTTACTCAGTTAAACAGTGCTGAGAATGGGAGTTCTATAACATGGAAGTGTGTTGATGGAAATTCAATCAGGAACATGGGCTTGACATCAGGAGTAAGGAAGGTATGCCATCCACATAAAATATGCATTCTTTTTTTTTTTTTGCATATTTTTGGGAGTAAAACTTCTTATTTACAAATCAACCACCCTCTTTCATCCATTTTTCAAATTCTTACTCGAATATCACAAGCCATGTTAAAACCCCCACCCATATTTTTCATGTTTGTCAAATTCTCAATAGTTTGATCGTGGCGCTTGTAAATACATCGGTTTGGTAGTTCAAGCGGGGTTTATTTGTGAATAACAATGTTTCTGGCGGCCTGTATATAATTATCCCATATTTTTAAAATAATATTGAAGATTATTTTGTAAAAAAAAAAAAAAAAAAATCTAGTGATAGTCTGCCACATTCTTTGCCTTCAAATACTTGAAATGCATTATAAAGTTCATACAAGCAATATGAATTTATTTATTTAACATCATACAATCAATACAAAGCAGACTTACAATAAAAAAAAAGCAACTTTGCATTCAAATCCTTATCGTACATCAATTCTTTGCTCCATTTAAGTGACACTAAACATTTGAAAATCTCATTTATTTAGATTTTAGGGGCATTTACATACATACCATATAATTCTTATGTATTTACATATCTCACACCTAAACATACATATTTAGGTCATCACTTGCAGTCATGCATAGGTCTACAAGTGCAAGTATTAAATTTTGGTAGGTAGATATGTAAACATATAAGAATTGTGAAGTATGTGTGTAAATTTCCCTAAGATTTTAGACATGAATGTTCTTATTTACACAGGTGTACAACATGACACGAGATTTTAAGGAGGAAAAGGTGTTGCAGAAACCAAAGAGAATGCCAAGTAAGAAAGCTAAACTATTATTAAAATGAATGAAGCTTGTTGGTATGAATGTACTGCCTTTTTTTTCTTGTTGTTGTGGAAAGTCAGTTCCCATGTTTGTTTATGGAGGCATTTGCTTACATAACATCCAATTCTCATGTATTTACATATCTAATGCCTTTTTTTTTATTTTCTTTTTGCATTTAAACTGCCCAAATATTTCACATCACATCTAAAAATATGACTATTATAACTTTTAAAAAGTGAAATATGTTTTTTCATGCTTAAGTAAGATGGTATATATAAGTAAAAATTGAAGTTTAGGTGTTACATATGTAAATATAAGGGAATTTAGTGGCATGTATATAATCTTTTCTTATTTATCTTATATACATAACATCCAATTTCTTATAATATAATTTTATGTATTTTGTCATATATTATATTCATCTAAAAATAAATCTAATAAGATTAGTTCATCAAACTAAAATAAAATAAAACATGATTTTTTAAAAGTGGAAGCTTACATATTAATTAATGTCTCCATTTATTTCATTATTTATTGAATTATTTGTTTAAATATTTTGACTCCTTAATACATGAATTACCCGCACAATGTCAATTTGATTTAAAAGCACGAATATGTAAAATAAATATTCATATTTTAATTCAGAAAATTTACAATAGTTCAATTTAATATATAATTCATTTATCCATCACATGTTTTATATAAACATTAATCATTTAACAAGTTCTAAAAGGAATGAACAAATTAGATCATTTGCATCAAATTTTTTGTATATTTATTCATCTAATTAAATAAGCACAAAAAAATTATTTAAATTCATCATATAATTACGATTCCGCTTGGGGCAGCTTGTGCGTTTCAGGATAAACTGATTATCCTGAAATGCGGCCCGCAGGCCGGCCGCAGGTGTCGACTCGCAGCCTGCATTTAGTGTAAAAACTCAAACGCAATTTCAGATAAACTGGCGAAACGCGTGAACCAAACGGTACGGCGGTGTTTTGAAAATGCCGCCGGCACTTATAAGCTGCCCCAAACAGACCCTAAGTAACTAGATCATCAAAACTTACTCTTTTATTGTTTATCCAATAATTCAACAATAAATCTTTTATTGTTTATGTATTCAGTTAACAATGATTTTTAACTATTTATGTAGTTACATACAAAATAAATAAATAACTTGAAAAACACAAACTTCGTTCAATCACTCTTAATTTTATGTCTACATAAACCCTGCTCGCACTCAATAAAAAGACGAATAAATAAACTCGAACATGACGATACACGATTCGATTTAGCTACAACCCTCACTCGTGGTGGTTGCGCTCAAATCCAATAGAAAAACAAAACAATTCTTATGTATTTACAAAACTCACACCTAAACTCATATTTACACACATAGCACTCAAACCTTTAATATCACTCCAAGATGCTACATATATAAATATGAAAGTTTAGGTGTGAGTTTTGTAAATACATAAGAAGTGTGGGCTACATATGTAAATTTCCCAAAAAAAGCTGTGAGGTCAATTACCTCACTGAGGCAGCCAGCTTCTCATGATTCACTCAAGAAAAGGTGCGAGGTCAATTTCAAATGGCTTCTTCCCCTTACTTATCCTCTTCAAAGCACAAAATAAAAAATAAATAAATAATAAATAAATAAATAAAACAATTTATTTAATAATAGAGATGAAAGAGAGATCAAAGAAATATGAATATATGTGGTGAATATTCATTTCAAAGAATTTATAACTTACAGCTATTGCTATGAGCTCTTCTAAAAGTTCCTCCAAGTGGCGCAAAGGCTGTGTTAAAAAAGATAACAAATTTAATACTTCCTACAAATAAGTGGGGGAATTTACAAATGCCACCCGATTCTTATGTATATACATATTTAACACCCTAATTTTATTTTATTTTTACATGTATACCACTCGAATCTTTCATATCACATCAAAAAATATCACTATTTTAACTTTTAAAAAAGTGATGTACACATTTTGATGCATGTAAATCTTTCATATTTGTGTGCGCGTACGCGAGTGGGTGTGTTTTGATGTATCACAATTGTACAAGAAGATTTACATTGTGGAAGTACAAAAAAAACTCACCCATTGTGTTGGACCATCAACAGGAGCATTCAGTGGATTATCATGCACCTAAGCAAGTTAGAAAGAAACCATCAGTACTTTCACAAATATTGAAATAAATGGTTTGGAATGTCAATCAACTTAATTTTTTTACATTCATATGGTCATGCCACACAATTCTTATGTATTTGCATATAATAAACTTTGCGATTTACTTAATATAACACTCAAATCATTAACATCATTACAAAAATACCACTAATACTTAATTTTACCAATGTTGTGATGTGAGTCAACAACAACAACAAGCCTTTATCCCACTAAGTGGGGTCGGGTATATGAATCTTTTTTCTCCATTGCGTACCATTGAATGTCATATTTTCATTTAATTCTAATAGATTAAGGTCATTTTTATATAATGTGCCCAAGTCTTTTTATGTCTACCTTTGTCTTAACATAAGTCGAATCTAAAACATCTACTCTCCTAGTTGGTTCATCAGATGATCAATGTTTAATGTGACCAAACCATCGAAGACAACTCCCTCTAATCTTGTCCGCCATCAGAGCCACACACTAACCCCATCATAGATATATTCATTTCACATTTTGTCTCTAAAGTGTCAAGTGACTCATCCACCTTAAACATCTCATATCAATGACACTCTACTTTGTTTTATGATTCTCTTTTAAAGGCAATGGTGTTTTCTCTTAAGCATTGCATTTTACAGACAAGTGATCAAAAAGTACAAAAATTTCAAGCAAGATTTGACATTTACGAAATATAGAAATTACAGAAATACCTATAAAGATGCTATGTTTTTACCTCCATGAATAGCCCATCGACACCAACTGCAACAGCTGTCCTTGCAATACAAGGTATTAGTTCGCGCAAACCACCACTAGCAACACCGCCACCTTCAAGCTGAAAATAGAGTGGCATAAAAAGGTTCACCCAATCATTCAAGCGGCATTGACATAGAAACCACTCAATTCCTTGTATTTTTACATATCTAACACCTAAACTTTTCTTTTTTTACATCTATACCACCAAAATCTTTCACAGCACATAAAAAATAACACTATTATTAACTTTAAAAAAGCGAGCTGCACATTGTCATGCATAAATAAGGTGACATATATGTAAAAATTGAAGTTTAGGTGTTAGTTAAGCAAATGCATAAGAATTGAGTGGTATGTATGTAAATCTTCCATCATTCAATGGCATAGAATTAACAGATTCCTCAGAAGCAAAATCTGAGCTAATAGATGCAATCTGCAATTTAATACAGAATCCAACAACATTATAGCTTTACATACAAACCAATTCTCACGTGTTTTCGTATCTAACACCTAAACTTTGTGTTTTACATTTATGCCACTCAAATCTTTCATATCACATCAAAAGTACAACTAATTTAACTTCTAAAAAGTGAAAAGCATCTTTTCATGCATAGATAAGGTGGCATATACGTAAAAATTTAAATTTCGGTGTTAGGTAAATGCATATGAATTGCATGGCGTGCATGTAAATCTTCCAATAATATAATAGATAGCACTCGCTTACAATATGATTAATTTACTTCAACATGCCAACTTGGCCTTTTTAAGAAAGGTAGAACTAATATTGGTTGAAAACACAATAGTTAGAATTTATGTTATATTACCGCCATATCTGCTGTATTTTGTTAAAGTAATAGTTGTAACAACTAAATGTTTCTTTTCAGAAAAAAAATTGCAGATAAAGTGTCACTTAGGGGTGTAATTGAGGAAAGCCGATTACGTTAGCTGGCTTGGGCTCTCATGAACTGAACTCGATGAGCTAATAAGTCAAGCTCTAGGAAGCCTCAATTCGACTTGTTAGCTCGTGAACCAACTTGTTGAAAAAATAATTAATTTAAAATATACTAAAAATATATTAAAATTGAAAATATTATCATCTCAAACTCGATTAATTAATCAAATAAAATTCAAGCAGAGGATAGCTCGAGCTCGAGCTTGACTCATTTACACCCCTAGTGCCACGTGGTGAAAATGGTATTTAGTTCTCAGGATTCGTGAAAATGCTACAACAAATAAAACCTCTCGAGAGAAGGCTCGAACATCATTCAGAATAAGATTTTAATATTTTACAACTTTCTACCTTCTTCCCTGCAGGCTGTTGAAGCGAATGAGTAATATCAGCGACCTGAGACAAGGTAAAGCTAAAAATTAAGATTTTTTTTGCTGAGAAAATAAGAAAGCTAGGAAATCTACCAAAGCGAAGAGAGTTCGGAAGGAAGCAATACGCTACGGTAGACCTATAATCTCCTGATTAAGGGGTAAATGTTAGATGGCGCATCACATTCTGCAAATTATGCTTACCACCGGGCAATTAGCTTCCCTTAACCACTCCAAATTGCGTGGATCGACGATTAAATCATCTACAAGTGAAAATGAGCATGATATCAAAATAATATAAAGGTAGATTCAAGGATAGAGAAGGAAAGGAGAACCTGAAAAATGATTTCCGCACAAATCTTAAATGACAGAATACACCTTTCTTAATTCTGGCATAAGGCAGTAAAGCAAGCCATATGAAGGTCGTTTGAAACTTCAAACTGTTTCAAAGGTTGAAGTTTTCTTTTTGCGTTTTTTTTTTTTTTTTATTATATATAAATCAAAATCATTCATTTCATAAATAGAATCAATTTTTCTAAAAGTTATCAAAGCATATTGAGTAGCATAATACATGACATGCATAAAATATGAGAAAATGTCAAAATGGTCCCCCAAAACTTTGCAAGGAAACATTTTAATCCAAAAGTTTATAAAAATGTCAATTTAGTTACAAGACTCTTTCAATAAATTCCCAGTTTCTTTTAATAATGAGTTAAAATAATACTCAATGAGACTATTTTAGCCCCATTAAAAGAGTTTGGAGATTAATTTAACACATTTACAAACTCTGAGACTAGCCTCGTGTTCATGTAAACAGGGAGGGGACTATTTCGACACTTCACTCCATAAAATATTAACTTACTATAGCCAAACATAGTGCCTCGTTCACAAACCATCACATTCTGGTTGCCAGCAAGTCTAATTTTTTCTGCAGAATTCACCATAACCTGCCAGAAAGATCACATAAGTTATATATAGAATAATACAACAGTCTCAGTACAGCTACTTCAAAAATTGGTAAAGTTGTTGAAACAATATTCTCAGTTTATTCATTTAAACTGTAGAAAGAAAACAAAATCAAATCAAGAATTCTGTGAAAGTACTCTCAAGCATTTTGAAGGGGAGAAATGTGGGAAAGACGTTTTAACATTTGCTCCCATATCATATAACTGAAGCACCTCAAAATTTAATCCGTCTAAATGTAAACCGGCTTATATCTACAGTCAATCAAAAGTTCATGCAAAAGCAAAATAAAAAAAAATAATAATTAAAAATTTGCAAATGGAGTGCGGATTTCCCTACTTGAAGTAGATTTCTCAAAGAAACAAAAGCTTGTGATAAAATCTTTTAATGCTACACTAAACTGTGTGTTACAACAAAAATTAAAAGGGGTGCTTGCATAAAGACAACAATTCTTATGTATTTACATATCTAACACCTAAACATTCATATTTAGATGTCCAATACTCAAATTTTTAATATCAGGTCAAAGATAGCACCATCGTTACCATTTTTTTAAGTGAAATACACATTTTCATGCATAAGTTTATGACACCGAGATGTTACAAGTGTAAAAATCAATTTTTGGTTGTTAGATATGTGAATCCATAAGAATTGTGTGCTACGTATGTAAATTTCTCAGAATAAAAAGAGCTTTGTATTCCCATAACTGTGGCTTTAGATGTCCACTCTCCCATTCCAGAAATATGATAGCCATTGTCAAATCTTTAATTATTAGAAGAAAGCAACTATTCTAGAAATTTGCTTGTTAAAGGTGTAGATATTGCAATTTGGAAGAAGTTTAATTTCATAATGCAGTAGATACAAGTACGAACTTGAAAAAGAAAAAAACATGCTGAAGTTTGATTTTGTCTCCAACAAAACCTAATATAACATTGTAAACAACTACAGTTTAATTTCATAGTGTTAGTTATGTAAATCCCCCTTCAAAAAATTATTCAAAGCATTGTTTCATAGGACTCACGTACAGATGGGGCACAAAATTGTCCTTTCTTAATGTTGATGATTTTGCCCGTCTTTGCAGCAGCAACTAAGAGGTCAGTCTGCGACAATAGAGATTTCAACAATAAATATCTCCTTTGACACATACAAGTAGAAACTCAGAGAAATATTAGCACGAAATACAGCAGATAATTGGCAAACCTGAATCAAAATGTCAACAAGATATAAATGTACCTGACGACAAAGAAAAGCTGGAATTTGAATGATATCAGCGACTCTCCCAACAGCTTCACACTGAAAGAATGTAAAATGCTTTAGAAATAAATGAAGATTGAAAGGCAGAAAAATAAAGTTCAGAAGAATATTGAACCAGCATCAACATTAGCCTTATTCCAGCTATTTGGGACTAGCATTATAAATCCTCGTATTTTTTTAATTTATTAGAATTAAATGAAAATATTACATTCAATAGGACACAAGAGAAAAAGGATTCATGTAATTCATGTAGCCAACCCCACTTAGTGGAATAAAGACTTGTAGCTGTTGTTGTTATATTATAAATCCTCATATTTCATTCAATCATATACTGTTGCATAAAGAATTAAATCTATTATTCGTAAATATATTTGATGAACTTCTATTAAGGTAATTTTAGGCCCAACATTATCATAGTGTCCACTAACTCTTTGTTTCTCATTCAACGTTCCTAAATAAATGTGGCAAGTTCAATCTTAGCCCACCCTTGTTTAGTTTTCACTGAAATCGGATAAAATTGGGCTTCGTAATTTAAGAGTGATATTCTAATTTGTGCTTACTGACATCAGAAATCATCAATGTTCTTTTAATTACATGGCAATAAATACATCTTCAGTGAAGCTTTAGTCTTGTCTCTGCAACATATAACTAAGTTTTGAAGGGTTTCTTTTTCATACATTTGATCCCCGTAGAAATATACTCCAACCAAATCTCACTAAACACTGCTCAGCAAACATCTTCGCAACGAGCATCCTTTTCATATTTACACACATAGCACGCAATGCTTATGCAATTACACATCTCACACCTAAACTTTCATATTTACACACATAGCACTCCAATCTTTAATATCACATAAAAAAGAACACTATTATCATTTTTTTAAAGTGACATACGCATTTTCATGCACATGTTTAAAACACTAAAGTGCTAGGTAAGTAGATATGAAAGTTTATGTGTGAGATATGTAAATACATAAAAATTGTGTGCTACGTATGTAGATTTCCCTTTTTTCTTACAGTTTTGTTTATGATCTCTATTTTCACTCTCATGAACAATATTTTTTTATTGGTTTCTTAATTGCACAACTGATAAGTTTTGTTTTGCGTGAGTTTGTGGTTTAGCGTCGGCAAAAAGAAGGCAGATGATAAATAAATAGGTTGCCATATCCAATGAACACAAACTTGGCTGCTTCCCTGGAGATCAATTAAATGCAGCTTATGCGAAAAGGTGCCTGAGTTTCACAAAATTAAACAGTGTGAACAAGTTAATTGTCCTTCTAACAATTAGTCTACACAGCCGTTCATGCATTAAATGCAACTTTTATAGGCAACTTTGGTAAAATAAAATAATATGAATATTTACATGCATAGCACTCAATTCTTACGTATTTATATATCTAACACCTAAAATTCAATTTTTACATATCAGCCACCTTCCCAATAAGCATGAAAAGGTGTATATCACTTTTAAAAATGTTAAAATGGTGGTATTTTTATGTGCTAGGTGTAAATATAAAAAGCAAATTTCAGGTGTTAGACATGTAAATACATAAAAATTGAGTGGAATGTATGTAAATGCTCCATAATAGGATGACCATAAAGCTTCCATACATAATGCATTACTGAAAGCATTAGCTCATTCAAAACATTTAGGCTAACAAGAGTACTTGATTGGATTAAAATAAATTATATAAAAAAATGTAATATATGACTAACAAGGCTATCACAAAATATATGAATGCAGATTTTAAAAAAGATAAAAACTAAATAGAATATTATTAAAATGCATGCAACAGCATACCTGACTGCTCTCATGCACATCTGTTACTATAGGAAGGTCATAGGTGACTTTAACCTTCTCAAGAATCTATCGCATCAAAATGGAAAAGAGAAATTTTTAAAATGTAGCATAAAAAGCAAGAAATTTCACAGAAAAAAACACTTGCAAGCAAAACAGCAAATGTAAAAAATTGCAGCTATCATCATGAAAAGTTCTAACAATTCCTTTCATCAAGCTAATATTTGAATAGAATTTGAAAAAAATGTAATCCATATCTAGACAAATTTGAAAGAATAATTTTTCAAATATTAACATTTCTGCCACAAATATGATCTATACCTTCAAACCTTCCTCCAGCCCAGGTCCACGGTATGATTTTGAGGAAGTACGATTCGCTTTGTCGAAGCTTGATTTAAAAACCAGTGGCAGCCCGAACCTAGAAATAACCTTTGAAGTAATCTGATTTGAACTTAATATAAAAAAAGAATTTTGTTTAAAAAAAATTATAGGTTAAAAAATTGCATACTTAGACGCAATAATCTTTATAAGTTTTGCCAACTTCAATGTATGCTCTTCGGATTCAATCACATTGGGTCCAGCTAAAAGGAAAAATGGATCTGCAGCCTGTCCAATTTTGAAAGAAGTTACCACTTTTCAGATGCAGTAACAATGTATGTTGATTACCAGAGAGTAATAGCATCTGCATACAAATGTTAAAAGCAAAAAGCACCTAAGGTCTATGAAAAGCACCTAAGGTCTACGTTCTCAATACTTTAATTTGATTATGTATATGGAATATTTACAGCATAAAAGTCACGTAAAATCCTACCCAACCACAACTTCAGGTCAGCTTCTCGCCAATCATTAAAAGGTGAGTAGAAATGTTGATAGAGCACTGCTCTAAATATAGAGCGCTGCTCTAAATATTTGGGTAGTTTACAAACATACCACACAATTCTTATGCATTTACACATCTAACACCTAAACATTCATATTTACATGCATACGACTCAAATCTTTAACATCACGCTATCCTTTTAAAAGTAAAATACACATTTTCATACATAAGTTTATGACACCAAGGTGTTATAATTGTAAATATCAACCTTTGGGTGTTAGAAATGTAAATACAGAAGAATTTTGTGGTTTGTATGTGAATATCCCTAAATATTTGTGTGGACAGAGGAAACATTTAATTCATTTAAAACACACTACGGAGCTTTTATGGTCTCATCGCTATTTCATCATGAAAAAGTTTATATATTCAAGTTTATAAATCTACCCTAAATACATTTGCTTACGTGAATTTTAAAAACTACTGCGATTATGATCTGTTAAGTAGCAGCAAGGCAGGGAAAAGTAAGCGCTTCTAAAAAAGAATAATCAATCATCACTTTTTTTTTCCCATCAGTTATGAGCTTGGTGCATTCAACAAAACAAAAGAATTCTTTCGTCTAAGTTAAAAGAGGGGAGATTTAAATGCATGCTAATTCTCGCATATTTGCGCATTCAGCAAGTATTTGCATATTCAGCACAAATTTTGATATTTACTTATGAAACACTTCAGTGTAATAATCACATCAGAATTTATGCATGAAAAAGTTTTTTTCACTTAAAAAAAAATAAAAAATATGTTTTTTTTTTAATTTGGTCTTAAAGAATAGAGTGCTATATAAACAAATATTAAGAAAAGAATTCTTTCGTCTAACTTAGTTAAAATAAGGGAGATTTAAATGCATACTAATTCTCGCATATTTGCGTATTCAGCACAAATTTTGATATTTACTTATGAAGCTCTTCGGTATCATAATCACATCAGAATTTATGCATGAATAAGTTATTTTCACTTTAGAAAAATTATATTTTAATGTGGTCTTAAAGAATGGAGTTTTATATAAAAAAATATTAAGCTTTTGGGACTAGATATCTAAATACATAAAAATCTGTGGTATGTATGTAAATCCCCCTGAAAATAAGCTGTCCTGTTTTAAAAATAAAAAGATTTAATATTGAAAAAATCCATATTATGCCATTTTGTGCATAGAAAATTTCTTGAGGATTGTTCGACGCCAAAGTTATTCAACTGTTCACTTGAATCAAAGGTAATAAACAAGTACTTACCTTAATAAAAATATGAGGAAACAAATCAAATTGTGTTCGCACTTTAATAACTAAAAAAATGCCTTCTAACCTTACATTTTCAAAAAGAGTGTCAAACTCCAAAAATATAGCATCTTACAATGTGTAATTTATAGATTTCAATGCTTACAGTCGTTAGGCCAGAAGCAAAATAGTACTGCACTTTACCATTATGTAAAAGTCGATATTTGTTCTCGTTTGGGGGAAAAATAAAACTATGGCTAAAACATAAATGAATTTCATAAAGATCATATAATCAAGAGAAATATTAACCTTGAGGTGGTTGAATAATTCCACGGAGCCATCCATCTTCTGCTATAATGCAACAAATCTCTACAATAACAGATAAAAATTAAATGCCACAAACCAAAAGGAAGAAATATGGAAATTTTTACATGCTAAATAAAGCAAAGTTGAGCTATTACTACTAGTAATTTTAGTTCCAGACAATATAAAAAAAGAAAAAAAAAGAGCTATTCCTACTAGTCAAGTGGAGCACACTAACTTCAAATTGACTTATTAAAGGAGGAACAAAAAAGGAAGATTTGCATACATACACTCAATTCCTATGTTACATATCTAATACCTAAACTTCAATTTTTACATGTATGACAGCTTACATATGCATAAGAAGGTGTTTTTCAATGTTTAAAAGTTAATATAGTGGTATTTTTAAGGTGATATGAAAGATATGAATGGTATAAATGTGAAAAAGTAAAATGTTCGTGTTACATATGTAAATACAAAAGAATTGTGTGGTACGTAAGTAAATGCTTCAAAAAAAAAAAAAAACCCAAAAACTTAACCTTGTATGTTATGCCAATTATCATATTCTACTATGCTCTTCCATGATCCTCCTGACCAAAACTCAAAAAAACACCATGAGCCCCAATTGGCAAAAATCAAACTCAAAGCATCTTCAAGTTTTTTAATAAATCAAATAAGCTAAAATATCATGTGCCAAATACAAATGAAAAAAAAGTATATTGACCTACTCAAACTTCAACTTTAGAAAGATCCGATAAATAAAGAAATGAAAAGAAAAACTTAACAACCAATGCAAAAAAAGAAAAAAACCATTTTATGTCCTTGATGTTTTTTAGCAACTCGATAATTTATACTATGAAATGACCATTATATGGTAACAAAACACCATTAAATGTGATCAATTAAGCATCCTTAATTGCAAGAGTAAACGAAACATAAGAATTTGTACATCCAAATATCAGCCATGCAACTCCTCCACCAACAAAAAAGTAAATAAATAAATTTCAGCAGGTCTCAAAATTTAAAATTAATTATCGCATTCAATGTAACATCAAAAATAAATAATTAATAGACCAAAGCAATTGTAGAGCAACAAATACAAAATGTAGTTTTATATATTAATCAGATTCAAGAATAAATAATCTCACATTCTTCATCGAATCCTAAATGTAATAACAAAAGGCGAGTGCTTCCAAAATTTGTTAGAAGGGGTGTATTTTAAAATTCACACATTTAACTAATCCTGAAAACATAATCGAGTTTAATGGATATTAAGAAATACAATTTTTTTAATTTGAAAGAATAGAGTCACTCGGGTTTATTATTCAAAGTGATGGTGATATTGAAGGGGATGTTATTAGCAGAATTCAAATTAGTTGGTTGAAGTGGAGGAATGTTTTGGGCCTATTGTGTGATAGAAAAGTGTCACTTAGATTGAAAGGAAAAATTTATAAAATTGTGGTGAGACATGCAATGCTCTATAGTGTTTAATGTTGGACTTTAAAAGAGAAGCATAAAACTAAATTAAGTGTTGCCAAAATGAGAATTGTTGGGCATATGTATTTCTTCTAAGGGGCTGGATATTCGTCAAGGTGGAGATTTGTTAGGTATGGCTCATATACCATAAATGAGTCATATACCTATACCATAAATGAGACAGATGCTGGAGCGGAGCAGAACCCACGAGCGGAGTGGAGCGCAAGGATCTGTTAAATCGGGGGAGTTTCATTATGTGGAATGGGAGTGCGGGGGCAACATCCCGTGGTTTGGTACAGGGGTAATTTAAACAATTATTTATTGTACTATATAGTTATATAAATATGTCATGTATGTAACTCTAAGTCTTATCCCAAATTTTGTATCCAGTACTTATTTTTTTCTGGATTCGTGGAAAGTTGCCGCTCTGCTCCCGAGAACGTAGGCATCTTTGCCGAACCTCGTTAAATCTTTGCGTTCTTCTGGATTTATGTCGATTATTGTTTTTCTTCGCCCTAATTTCTCAACAAGTGGTATCAGAGACTGGTTTGAGGGCAGGGAAGAAAAATTTAGGCGGCGCAAGAATAAAGAAGATTTTGGCAGAGGAGATTGGCGGCCAGAGAAGGATTTCGGCAAGGTTCGAGTAGTTCGGATTTCGGCGCATAGAGGAAGTTCGAAGACGAAGAGGGCTTCGGACGGTTCGGCAGGAAGATGAGGGCTTTTCCGCGAAGGCTTCAAGTGCGACACTAGGCGCGCACGAACAGTAGGAGTTCGGCGAAGCTTCGGAGGAGTCCGAGCAGGAAGGCGTCGGTGAGATGGGCAGAGGTGCAAGAAGGCATCAGCGAGATCACAGAGGAGTCGCGGCAAGAATCGCAGCGTTTGCGATCGCAACAGAAGAATCGTGGCTTCAACTTCGGCGGTTCGGACGGGCTTCGATTCGACGAGGTTTCAGCGCCAAGTGAAGTCGCTACAGACAGAAAAGGAAGGTTCGACGTCGGCCTGGAGCGGAGACGAAAATTGGAAGCTCTGATTTCATTCTTTTACTGGAGGCGGAAGAAAATTGAAAGGAAATCAAGTTTCGATTTCATTGCCGAGAAGAAAATTGGAAGAGAAATCAAGTTCCGATTTTATTCCTTTGCGGGAGGCGGAGAAGAAAATTGGAAGAAAATGAAATAAGTTCTAATTTTATTCCTTTGCTGCGGAGAAAAAATTTGGAAGGAATATTTTCTATATTTCTCTAGAGGCAATAAAAGAAATTTCCTTCTATTAATCAGGAAAATCTTGTTGCACGCGAAGATTTTCTAGGACGCGGGAAAGGCAAGGAAAGGGAACCTGCTGCTGCACTCGGGAAAGAAAAGATTTCTTTTTGAAAGGAAAGCGGAGGTGGGGTTTTTCTGAAAGGAAAGCGAAAACGAAACCCTTCTGAGAAGAAAAGCGAAGCTATTCTGAAAGAAAAAAAATAAGAATTTTTCTGGAAATTAGAATAAGAGCTTTTCTTGAAAGTTTAAGGAAAATGATTTCTGGGAAAGTTTAATTAAGGAAATTTAATTAAGAGAGTTTTTTCTGTGAAACTTAATTAAGGGTATCTTAATTAAGGGATTATTTAAAAGAATTTGTAATTCAACCCACATTGGTGCATACGAAACTTCATGATGTAGAATTACAAATTTCAAAGAGGGTTCTTATTCAATGATAGCAAGGTGGAGATAGCAAGGGTTCTTATTTAAAAGAATTAAGGGATTATTTAAAAGAATTTATAATCTTCCATGATGTTTAAATGAATATTCGCCAAGGTAGAGATCTGTCAAACATATGTATTTCTCCTAAGAGACTGAATATATATTCACCAAGGTGGAGATTTGTCAGGTATATGTATTTCTCCTAAGGAGCTGGATATTCGTCAAGATGAAGATTTGTCTGGCATATGTATTTCTCCTAAGGGGCAAAATATTCGCCAATGTGGAGATTTATCAGACATTTGTATTTCTCCTAAGGGGCTGGACATTCGCCAAGATGGAGATTTGTTGGACATCTGTATTTCTCCTAAGGGGTTGAATATTCGTCAAGGTGAAGATTTGCTAGGTACGACTCATATACCATAAATGGGACAGATGCTTGAGCGGAGCAAAGCCCACGAGCTGAGTGGAGAGCAAGGATCTATCCAATCGGGGGAGTTTCATTATGTGGGTTTGGGGTGCGGGGGCAATACCCCGTGGTTTGGTACAGGAGTAATTTAGTAATTACATATTGTACTCCAGGGTTTTCTAGGGTTATAAATAGGCATGTATGAAACCCTAGGTCTTATCTCAAATTTTGTATCCTGTATTTTTTTCTTGAATAGTGGAAAAGTCGTCACTCTGCTCCCGAGGACGTAGACATCTTTGCCGAACCTCATTAAATCTTGGTGTTCTTCTGGATTTGTGTCGATTACTGTTTTTCTTCGCCCTAATTTCTCAAAAAAAATGATTAGGTGGATGAGCGGCTTTACACTTAAAGAAAAAATGCAAAATGAATATTTCCCTGATAGGATTGGTGTTGCTCCTGTGACAAACAAAATTAGAGAGAGTCGTCTTAGATGGTTCGGTCGCATTAAACGTCGACCATCTGCTGATACAATTAGAAGAGTAGATGTTTTAAATTCAACTAATATTAAGAAAGGCAAATGTAGGCCTAGGAAGACTTGGGCATATTGTATAAAAATGATCTTAATTTATTAGAATTAAATGAAAATATGACACTAAATAGGACGCAATGGAGAAAAAGGATTTGCAGTCGACCCCACTTAGTGGGATAAACGTTTTGTTGTTATTGTTGTTGTTGAAAGAACAAATTTAAACCAATCCACTAAGCCCCTCAAAAACTTAATAAAAAATGAGCAAACCTGATGATTGAATTAAAAATCACTACAATTTCATGTGGAAAACAACTCCATGTATCGCCAACTTTGTTAGCAAATGGAATAAATTTAAATGCATGAGTTAAAAATGCCCCAAAAAATGAAACAGCTATGTTAGATCTTCTAAGAATGTTACTCCGCATGCTGCATCCAGACTCATACAGGACCTCTTCCAATTACAATAATAATGAAGATTCAAGAAAAACAAAACAATAAAATGAGATTTACAACATACCACTCAATTTCTATGTATTTACACAAATAATAACTAAACTTTATTTTTTACATATATGCCACCTTAGCTATGCATTAAAAGATGTGGTACGCCTTTTAAAAGTCAAAATAGTGGTATTTTTTATGTGATATGAAAGCTTTGTATAGAGGTTTGAGGGGACAAACTCAATAACAGCAAACAAAAAGCAGACCAAGATATGTTTCATAAGTTAGCAAACCAGATCCATCCAAGGAAAAAAACTATGAAACGCCCCCCATGGGAAACAAAAAGCTCCGATTAAACAAACAGAAGCCAAAATTGAACTTTGTATATCAAAAAATCTTGTCAGCAAAATGCATTTTACAGGAGAAACCAGAGAAATAAAAATAAATAAAATATTTGCCCTTGATTTACAAAAGGGATGCACCTGAGGTGCTGTTTGGTGGAAGGATACGAGCAACGTTTAACCTAAATCCTAGGGAATCTTTAATCTCGTTTCTCCTCCGTTTTGCCTTAAATCATGGATTTAGTAAATCTAGGCATAGGCATTGGACGAATTTAACTTAAATCCGCTTGACTCACAAATTCCTCTTCCTTTCCACTTACTGCAAGGAGAATTTCGAAAAGAAAGATGAAGGGGCTGTCTGGTAACGAATTTAAGCAGAATTTAACGTAGATCTTGCCAGACGGTCACTCTGAACAAAATAAAACCGCGATTTCATAAATCGCGTATTTCACGGATTTCAACCTTAAATCCTAGATTTACAAAATCCCGTAAATCGGCAGATTTAGTAAATATGAGAAGAGCGAAAAGAAAGAACGGCGCGAACCGGCTTACCTTCTTCAATGGTTTGGGGTGAGAGCAGAGCCCAAGGTGAAGAAAGATGGAGTTACGGTGGTCTCCGTAAGCCGCAATCCCGTCGTCGCCTTCTAAGCTAGCTCTAATTGCGACTGTATCTCGAGGGTTCGATCACCATGGCGATGGTTCTGGACGAAACTGGAAGTGGTGAAGAGAGATAGGCGAGGGTTTAGGGTTTCAGGAAAACAGGGAAGGACAGCGAGAGGGTAGTGATGCAGGGGAGCCTTTCTGGCGGGATTTTAATTTATGTTAGTTTTCTTAATTTCACTGGATTAATAACTAATAATTAATAATTAAAAAATGTATTGCCGGATTAAATATAAATAAATAAATTTATATTTACTATTTAATTGTTAATTTATAAAATCTTTATATTAATTTTTTTTATTTATTCAATAAAATTATAAGTAATTATTAATTAATATAATTAATTACCACTTAATTATTACCTTATAAATATTAAACTATGATGATAGCGTATTTTAATTAATAATTAATTAATTTTATGAATACATAATTATTAATTATTATATTTTGAAATAAAATGTTAATTCAATTTAATAATTAATTTTAATCATAATTATAAAAATATTAAAGTTTAATTATTATTTCTCGTTCTAACAAACATAACAACCTTCTAAATCCTATAAAAATTGCCCAATAATTTGACAAGATTTAACTGAATTTATTAAATCCACTAAAATTTAAATTTATTGGGTTTATTAAATCCACTTTAGCTTAAATTCTCCTAAATAATTTGGGCATCTTATGTTAAGATAAAATCTATTAAAAATATATTTATAAAAGTTAATAATGAGAAGTTATGCTTTAAGTGTTATGTATGCAAATAAAACAATTTATGAGTTAGATTTGTAAATACATAAGAATTGCATGGCAAGTATGGAAATACGAAAATCTATGGGTTAGATATGTAAATACATTCATTACCTCCACAACCTCTTTGTAGATGCACTATAGCTAAAGTAAAAAACATAACTAAGGAGAATTTTTTTACATTAATTACGATGTTAGAGAAAACTTTCAAAAAAAAATTTGATGGTAGTATGATAAAACACTGACTTGAAAATAAATGGGATCAGCTAAAGAAGTATTGAAAATTATGTAAAGATCTTAAGCAGGGGTCTGGTCTGGATTGAGATTCCAAACGGAAAAAGTTTGACGCATCTGATGAATGGTGGAAAGAAAATTAGATGTAATCAGTGTGATGACATATTTTGTATCATTTATTCATAAAATTCACAAGTATATATGTTGAATATTACATTGATTACGATTTTTGAGAAAACTTTCAAGAGAAAACTTGAAGATAGTATGATAAACACTGACTAAAAAACAAATCTGATCAGCTAAAGAAATATTCGAAATTATGTAAAGATCTTAAGCAGGGGTCTGGTCTGGATTGAGATTCCAAATGGAGAAAGTTTGACGCATCTGATGAATGGTGGAAAGAAAATTAGATGTAATCAGTGTGATGACATATTTTGTATCATTTATTCATAAAATTCACAAGTATATATGTTGAATATTACATTGATTACGATTTTTGAGAAAACTTTCAAGAGAAAACTTGAAGATAGTATGATAAACACTGACTAAAAAACAAATCTGATCAGCTAAAGAAATATTCGAAATTATGTAAAGATCTTAAGCAGGGGTCTGGTCTGGATTGAGATTCCAAATGGAGAAAGTTTGACGCATCTGATGAATGGTGGAAAGAAAATTAGATGTAATCAGTGTGATGACATATTTTGTATCATTTATTCATAAAATTCACAAGTATATATGTTGAATATTACATTGATTACGATTTTTGAGAAAACTTTCAAGAGAAAACTTGAAGATAGTATGATAAACACTGACTAAAAAACAAATCTGATCAGCTAAAGAAATATTCGAAATTATGTAAAGATCTTAAGCAGGGGTCTGGTCTGGATTGAGATTCCAAATGGAGAAAGTTTGACGCATCTGATGAATGGTGGAAAGAAAATTAGATGTAATCAGTGTGATGACATATTTTGTATCATTTATTCATAAAATTCACAAGTATATATGTTGAATATTAAATTGTTATTTGTGGACACGCCAAAAACTAGGGAATAACTAATAAGTCGATAATTCATTGTAGGGGAAATGGGGAGAGGTTCATTTCTCTGTCATTTTGCCTCTAACTTATAGAGGAGTATTTATAAAATTACAAAACAGAGGGAACATGGAAATTGTTCTTAATGTAATTAATGCTCAAATTAATTATAAAATTATTTGTGGTTTGGTTCAAGTCTTACAAGGCATGCGTCTCCGCCTGTTAGGTCGGTTTGTCACCCCGACCAGATATTCTCTTTCGCAAGATATTGAGCGAATCTTATCGCAGCATATGCGGGATATTCGACGAGACTCACTGTCGAGATAATTTGCGCATCACTTTTGGCGGATCTTGTCGTTATTGAGCAGGTCTCACTCATGGCGAATATTGTCGTTATCGAGCAGGAAAACATCTCCAGAGTTTTGAACCATCTCGGGTTTAGAGACGCGACCTCTCACGCTTCACGTTAGATTATCGGTCGATCGCTTGCCTCAGAGAAAAATTTTTACCTCCAATCGTTTGTTTTCTTTGAGATTCGTGCGGATACAAATAAGTGTCAATGATTGGGCTCATTTGAACACATATTAGGCCACATTTATGTTGCCCAATTTATTTTATCGAGACATCTTATTTAATGATAAAAGCTATAGCTTTACAAAGCAATTGCAATTAGATTATAATAAATGCCATTAAAAGTAATTAATCAAACGAGCATCCACTTGCAGAACGTGATTAATTTCTTAAAAGAAAAATTAGCGTTTCCAAGCTGCAACTTTTGCCAGCTAAAATAGCTCTAATAAATACAAGGAAGATTTACAAACATACCACTTAATTTCTTTGTATTTACATGTTTAACAACTAAAACTTTAATGCAATTACATGCAGGTCACCCGAAACTTGTTATTTACAAAACAAACACCGTCTTTCTTTCATTTTCTTAAGTTTTCATTCAAATATTAAAATTCGTGGTAAAACCCTAAATCATATTTTACACTTTTATCAAATTCTAAATAGTTTGCATCGGTTCGGTTGTTTAAAATAATGATACGGGGTAGGGCTGTCAAAAAAGCTCGTTGTTCGCAAACAGCTCGTGTTTGCTGGTTAAGTGGCTCGTGTTCGGCTCGTTCGTTAAGAAAACGAGTCAAACACGAACAAACTTTTAAAGCTCGAATTATAAACGAGCCGAACACGAATAGCTCTTTGTTCGCTCGTGTTCGGCTCATTTTAGCTCAAAAAAAAAAAATTTATATAACTATTTATATAACAATATATTACATATATTATTTATAAAATAATATATTATATATATTTATGTCTAAGTTAAAATCATAACACCTTATGTAGCAATGTGGTTAATTCATTTTTTGTATATATAGGATTGAATCCCACACGTTACATATATTTTTCTCAATTTAAGTTTAACGAGTTAATTTCGAGCCAAACACGAACACACTGTTCACGTGCTGATTTCGAACACGAGCTATTTTGAACAAGCCGAACATGAGCCAAGCCTGAGAACGTTTGGCTCTCGACTCGTTTACAACCCTAGATATAGGTGACTAATTTGTAAATATCAATGTTTGGATCATCTAAATGTAAATTATCCCTTTCAAAATTAGTTAACTTTTGAAATTAAAATGATAATATTTTTATTATGATATCAAAATATTTGACTGTATAAATATTTAAAAAAAAAGAAAATTTACACACTCAACACACAATTCTTATGCATTTACATATTTTAAAGCTAAAATTTCATATTTACACAATAAAACCTTTGTGCTTTAGGACTGTCAAAACGGCTCGTTGTTTGCAAACAACTCTTATTCAGCTCGTTAAGAAGCTCGTGTTCAGCTCGTTCTCTAAGTTAACATGCTGAAAACAAACAAAAAATTATTCGTTCGTGTTCGGCTAGTTTTAGCTTGAAATATTACTCATCAATTATTTATTTATATCATTTTTATATTATTTTTTATATGTAATAAAAATTGCTAAGTTTTAATATTTTTAAAATTAATTTGGGTAGTAATAATTACATGAACGTCCACGTAAAGGGATTAAGATGTTGTTGTTGTTGTTGTTGTTGTTGTAGTAATAATTGTATTAAGGTGTTAAATTTGTGAATAAATAGGAGCATGATTAAGATTGTAAAAACGATTCTTTGTTCGTGAACAGCTCGTGTTCGGCCCCCCAAACCCACGAGGACGACAACAGTTTTTGAGCTCGAAATATAAACGAGCCGAACACGGCTGAGCCTAGGCTCGCTAGTGTTCAGCTCCTCTAGTGAAAAGGTGCATTCCTCTTTTGCAAAGCAATAACTATGCTAAGATTGTAAATATGAAAGTATGGGTGTGTGTTATGTAAATACATAAGAATTGCGTGTATGGTCGTAAATACAGCAAAAATAACTCATTAATGCTAAATATGTAAATACATAATACTTAAGTGGCATTTATGTAAAATGCTACTAAATATGATTTTGCAGTACAGCAAGCATTACAGAACGAGTACCATGTGGGAGAGGGAGGGAGACCAGGGGGGAAGGAACCAATTAAGAAAAATTAATTATACTTTCTCTTTTCAGAAGAACAGATCAGAGCCAGCAATTAGAAACCCTAGCGGCATGGAAAGATACGTTTTTGAAGAAACAGAGAAGACGGATTCAATGTATCCAGCCTTAAAAATTCAATCTTTTCTTCTGATTCTCCGGCCAGAGCTTTTATAATCAGTGAAGATTGCGACGCCATTAGAGCTCAAAGGTAAAGCTTTTCTTTATTTTTTTATCTGCTTGAGGAGAAAAAGTTTCAGCTTTGCGTGGATTCATTTTTTTTTTGTTTTTTGTTTGTTTGTTCTTCAGACCGAACGTTTTAATCTAGAGATTTACAGAATTACCGTTGTTTTAATGTATGTTTGTTGCAACTACAACTTTGAATAATCTGCTGATAAATTAGGTGCGATGACTATTACAAATTTTTATTTTTTTTGAAAAAGTCAGACCGCAGCCAGAAAACTGCTTAGTGCGGTGTGAAAATGTTGTTTTCAGCGTTTTGAAAACTCATAAGTTGTTGAAACTCAGTTTATCCAAACAGTCCAGATGCATTTTCAAAACTTCATAGCACCAAATAAACTGCTTCTTATAAAAAAATATTGCAGTTTGTCAATTTTTTGTACGTTAGTGTTCTTTCATAACTTTAATCTTTGATCTGTTATGAAGGAATAAAAAAGTTGCAATTTTTATGCATATAACAATAGGTTTAAGAAATTGTTCAGGGTATTTCTATAAATGTTTGGTCAGGAGAGAATGAAAACCATGGGATTTGCTTTAAGATGAGTGTAATGTACAAATTTTGATTGATTATTTCAAGATAATGAAAATTAAAAGTGAATTTTTTAGACTTTTCTTTTGATGTTCTGTCTCTTTTACAATGTAAATCTTAATTTATTAAATTTAATTGTGAGACAGATTTAAAAATTTCATCCGATCATCATCTTCATCTCCATCAATATAAATTCAAAATTATTTGATTTATACTCCAAAATAAATCTATAACAAAAGAAAAAGGGGGCAATTATATACAGACCACTCGAAACATGCTATTTACAAATTACGAATGAACCGCCATCTTTCATCCATTTTTTAAATTCTCGCTCAAATATCAAAATTCGCGCGGAAACCCCAACCTATATTTTCATTTTTATCAAATTCTCAATAGTTTGATCGTGACACGTGTAGTTACATCATTTCGATAGTTTTAAAAAATCCCCTGAGTGATTTATTTATAAATATCAATGTTTTGGATGGTCTGTACGCATTTATCCCAAAATTTAGTAGCTGATTTTGCAAAATTGAAAATTGAACTATTCAATTTGACAGGCCTCTTAATTAGCTGAATAAAGTGGAGAAAATCAAGCAAGGAGTCACCTAAAGTTCATAAATACAAGGAGAAAAGAAGGAACAAGAGTTGCCATATTGGTCCTTTTAAATGAGTTTTGGCATACTGTGCTTGACATATTCAATGGAGAAAGGATTGCGACGAAAATCATTCGCCCGCCGGCACATCGCCGGAGAAAAAAGCGTTCAAGCACATGCGGAAAACCGGCGGGTCGCGCCTTCAAACTACTTGGGCTCGCAGTCCTTGGTGGTGCTCGTATGCGTCACTGCATCGCTGCTGATTCTTCCTCTCATATTGCCTCCGTTGCCTCCGCCGCCACTGATGACATTGCTTCTTCCGGTTGGCATTCTCATGGTTCTTCTTATCCTCGCTTTCATGCCGACGGATGTTCGAAATATCACCTCATCTTACTTGTAAAGAACCTTTAGATTTTGTTCAAATATGATTTGTTTTGCATGACAAACATATTACATTTGGATGTATTTTACATATGTAACATATAAGTTGTCATATTTACATATGGGCTACATTAGTTATGCTTGAGAATATGTATTTCACATTTTATAAGTTAAAATAGTGATTTTTTTTATTTAAAATATATGAATATTTATATACATGTCACTTAATTCTTTACACCTATACTTTGATTGTTGCATATATGTCATCTTATCTATGTATGGAAAATATGTATTTCACATTTTAAAAGTTAAAATAGTTGATTTTTTTATGTGATGCATGATTTGTGAGCTTGTATTTTTTTTTTTTAATTTCCAATATTTTTTATGTAATTTTCTTTATTAGATAGAATTACACTTAAATCGGTTGTCATTTAGGGGTGTAAACGAGTCGAACATGAGTGAGCCAAGGCTTAGCTCGTGTTTGACTCGTCAAAAAATATAGTTGTTAGTGTTTGGCTCGTTTACATTTCGAATAAAAAAATTTTATTTGTGTTAAGCTCATTTGCTCAGCAAGCCAAATTCGAGTTGTTCACGAATAAAGTGTCGTATTGACAACCCTATTCACGCAACCATTGGGGGTTCAAACGAGTCGAGCTTGAGTGAGCTCAGGCTTGGCTCATGTTCTGTTCTTTAAAAAATATAATTTTTTGTATTTGACTTATTTATATATCGAGCTAAAAAAATTTATCTATATTTAACTTGTTTGCTTATCGACTCGAACACGTGTTGTTCACGAACAACGAGTCATTTTTACAAACCCAGTCACTTAGCTATAGGATGTTAAGAGTAATGAAAGATTTAAATCTTATTATTTATATTAAAATATTTATTTAAATAGAATTGAATATATTTTTATTCTATTTTAATTAATAATTTTAATTGATTATAGTCTTTATAGCCTTATAGTCACTTAAATTATTTAAAAATATGACTAATTAATTAATTAATTAATTATATTATTATTATTTTAAATCATTTATTCCTCAAATTATATTGATTAGCTTACTACTCTTAATCTCTATTTAATTTAAACAATGAGGGATGATTGTTACTCATATAATAGCCAAACCACTAGTCTAGCACTGTAAAACTGATATACGGGCTTGAACCTGTGACCCTAGGGGACTCAAGACTGACAACGTAGCTGCCGAGTAAAGAACACGACACATGACACATGACACATGACGCACATATATGTAAATCCCCTTCTATAAATTTATAACTACTTACTCTCTTTTTACAAAAAAAAAATTATTGCATATTTAATGTACAATAATATTGTAAATGCTGCAGAGGTTGTTATACAACATATCTAATATTATTATGTATATAATTCACAAGACAATTGCATACTCCTCATTAGGAGCAATTATTGCGTGCGGACACCGCATGCATCTCTGCATGCGGTATCCGATCATGACCGTAGATCACGGTGATCTACGGTCAGGATTATTTCTATTTTTTTTTAAAAAAAGAAAAAAATTTTTGGTGGGACCCACCAAAATACATCAGGACCGTAGATCAGGTGATCTACGATCCGGATCGGTCACAACACGCATGGAATAATTTTTCCATTAGAAGAGCCGCAGTCTTGTCACCTTGTCCTTTATTTTTTTTCTTAATTGCATATGTGCCCCGGGATGAGGGTGACTTGAGACAAAATCCGAGAATCGTGGCAGTTCTCATGTAAAATAAAGCCATTTTTCTGGATCTTGGCAAAGATTCCACAGGGTAGATTTGCAAATTTTTTATCTTTCTTATTTGGAAATTTACATGCATACCGCATATTTTTTATGTATTTACATATTTAACGCCTAATTTTGTATTTATGCGCTTTGGTTTTACTAATTTCACTCTAAAAAAGTTAGTGATAGTAAAATTGTTTGTATGATGCGCATATAAATTTCAAATTTTGGGTGTTAGACATGTAATTATATAAGTATTGTGTGGTATGTATCTAATTGCTTTTAGTTCAGGGGTATTGACAAGCATGCCCCCAAAGCCCTATATATTTACATATCTAACACCTTAATTCTACATTTTGTATTTCAATCACCCGAAATTTTCATATGTATAGTTACATATCTTCAAATTAAGGTGATAGATGTGTAAATTTCTTAATTTCTTAATTGAGCTCTGAATGACTCTTAATTACAAATCTAATATTTGTTTTTGCAAATTTTTTTGACTTAATTTATGTACGCTCCATGAGATGATTTACGTACGTAAGACGTACTCGGAGCTGCTTACGTTTATTCAAGAGGGTATTGGGAGGTTATATTCGCGTTATACCCCCTATAACCCCTCTGTAACCTATCTATAACTTACCTGTAGCCTACAAATATATGAAAACAGAAGTACATAATTTACTAGAAGATTCAAGTATGTTACATGTAAGTTACAGGAATGTTACAGAAGGTATAAAACGAATATAACCCTCCAATACCTTCTGAATAACCTCCCTAACACACGCAGCGTTGCGTATATTTTACGCACACAAATTTTTCTCCCATGAGATGATGAAAATCAATACACACCATACAATTCTTATTTATTTACACATCTTACACCAAAAATTTTATTCTTACATGCATGACATTCAAATTTTTCATATAACATAAAAAAAAAACACCAAATCCTTGTCAAATAAACTAATAAACATTTGACACCAAATTATTATAAATGTAAATATTAAAACTTTAATGTTAGATTTGTAAATATACATGTAATTCTGCGACAAAAACACCGCCCAAATCTGATTAAAATGGAAAAAAAACTAAAGCTTTGCTTGGGATTATTTTCTTTATTTTATTATTTTTTTTCCTGAACAAAAATCCAAAAACAAAATAAAAATTAGGGTTGGTTTATTCACTTATTATTTTTTTTTTAAGTTTATTTTCAAAACATCAAAAACATAAAAATTATATTTTCACTTATTTAAAAACATGTTTTTTTAAGCATTGCCTGTTCAAGGCGTCGCCCGCCACCCACTGCAGCCATCCGTTGACCGCCGCAGCCCGCTCTGCATGCCATCACAGTCATCCCACGATGCCAGCCGTCAATTGCCACCCTGCCCGCCGCCAGCCCCCACTAGCAACCACCGAGCACCGCCCGCCTATCACCCGACGCCACACACACAGATAATGCTTTATGTTGGTTGGAGTAAGAAAAAAATATACGACATAGGCAGTCGAGTTTAATACTGGAGCGTCACGTTGACTTTTTTTAAAAATAAAAATAAAAACATGTTATATTTTTGTTTTTAAAAATATATAAATTATAAGAGTACAAACACTTTTTTTTAAAAGCAGAAAACAAAATAAAAATAAAACAAAAATTAAAAATAAAAAGTGATCCCAAACAGTTCCTAAGCTTTCCAGATATAAATGTGAATAATTTGCAGAAATATAAGAAGGTACTCTGATAAACACTATACAAATACATACAAACGATGATTTAAAGGAAAAAAAAAAAGGATCTGGAATGATTTATCACCTCCTAAGAAAAGTAGTAGCTTTCTCTCCCCAATCGGTTCTGAGCTGATCATAAGATTGTTCACCACCGAAACTGTTTGAACGAGTATGTTGCTTTTCGCTGCCGCCGCCGCCGTGCTGCTCCGACCACAATCTTCCACTCCTGCTGCCAACTTCGCCGCCGGGGAAGGTGGCGGCAAAGTTGGGCTCCATCACCAAATCTCCTTCCAAAATGCGCAGAACCTTCAATCCCATCAGGCAAAACAAAACAAATTATATTAGGAAAATTCACATACATACCACATAAAGCTTGTGCATTTACATCAACTAAAGTTTGATATTTAGGTCTGTAACATCTCGAGATTAAAAAACTTTGCATGAGAAGATGTATTCCATTTTTATGATGTTGGTGATAGTGGTACTTTTGATGTGATTCAAAGAGTTGAATATGTATGTAAATATGATAGTTTGGAAAATTTACATATATATTACACAAAGCTTATGCATTTACATCACCTAAAGTTTGATATTTAGGTTTGTAACATCTTGAGATCAAAAAAACTTTGCATGAGAAGATGAATTCCATATTTAAGATGTTGGTGATAGTGATGCTTTTGATGTGATTCAAAGAGTTGAATGTCATGTAAATATGATAGTTTAGGTTCTAGACATGTCTCATGTTCTTCTAGATAGCCGTTAATTTGGTACTCGACAAATGCAAAATGGTCATTTTAATATATGTACAGCATCAAATAGCATGTGCCTCAAGTACTTCAGACATTTATGAATACATGTCTTTATACCTCTTTTCCATTAATTTGCTAGAAGATCCCTCACAGAGAGTTTTTTATGTCGAATGGTGTCGAAGCATAAAGTTAATTATACATGTTTCTTTTATAAAAATCGAAAAAATACGAGTTCAAGGAATTCTACAGCTTCTGAAGTCGTAAACTACAATTGTGGATTGCAATGATGTATATATACATCACAACGAGAAGCAAGCTATGAGAAAAGATTTTAAAGGTGTGTCGGAAATAGATCAATGGAAGCATGCGCCTTCTTTAGATGGGCTTACGAGTTTCAGGAATCCACTTGAGAGTTCAAACAATCATCACATATAAAGAGTATCTTTGGAAAAAAAAAAATTCATATATACTTGATCATTTGAATATTAAAAGTAATACCACAAAAATATTATTTTTGCCATTATAATTTTAATTTTTTTGTTACTCATTATTAAGTGATGTATAACTCTTTCATGTAATATTTTAGACTTGCAATTGTTTGATAATATCTAAAATTAGTTTATGTTGTTATTTATGAGTTAATTTTGAAATAATGAAATTACAAATACCGAGTGTATATAAGGGGTAAAACGGTCTTTATTTAAGGCATTGTCTAATTTTGAACTAACCAAACAAATCGCACAATTTTCTCTTAGTTGTTGCACGGCTGCTTATTCATTAAATAGTAATAACTGCAATTGCCCCAAACAAACATTTACTAGGAAGAGATTACGCAGGAAACAGGCATTGTCTGTTTGTTTTGGCCTTTTCAAACCAGAGTTATAAGCATGCATGCCTTCAATATATGCTTCAATAGTTTTGCAACTTAGACCCTCGAAAATAAAAAATAAAAAATAAAAATAAAAATAAAATCTTAGTGGCGTGCCATTAATGGGTTAACAATAATCCATTAACTTCAAAACTTAATTGCCTGGCCCTCAAATCATGTGCTTTCTTGAACTTATGACATTACGTCGAGTTTATTGTGCTTAAGCACATTGTTGGAAATAAAGTAAAAAATTCCAAGGTGCCAGGTTCAAGTGCTCATCTTACCCCAAAAAAAAAAAGTTTACTCATGTTAGAACACGTAAACTTTGAGTTGACTGGTGTTTAATCTAGTAGACTTGAGATTGATTAGTGTTTGACCTTGACCAAACCTTTTACAAGTATGAACGATATGATTGGAAGACAAACAAACACAACTAATCCAGAGAAACATAGCTAGTTCAAGGAGCTTGCTCACTATGTGCATGAAATGGTGTCGTTCAAGGAGCAACATGCAACATTGTAGTCACTTCCACATAAGAATTTGAAATTCTCTGATAATATTTAGTGTCATTACTCCTCGAGGACAATAAATACTAACACAAGCACAACATGATAAGAAGAAAGACCAACGACTAAAGGTGACAAACATTAAAGTGTAGGAATCATCACATCAGACAATGCATTATTGATCCCAAATAGTACTACAAAAGGAAGGGTTTTCCCATTTCAAGCATGATTGACAAACAAAGTTTAACGAGAGAGAAACAAGTCTTCCAATATCTAGGGTTTTGTCTCTAGTATTACAGGGTTCACTCCTACTTATAGAAAGGTCTCATACATTATAAATAAATATATATTATATATGAATTCCAAAAAAATCTTCGATTTATCCTCTGTCTTCTCCTAGCATAGCTTGGGTGTTATAATTAATATTATATTGCTAACGTCTTGCATTGATAATCATTCTACATAAAAAATTTTCTCCTACTTTCGACTCATTCTAGTGTTTTTGTCAGCTAACTCGGCTATGAGGCGACTTTAGGAGAGTTGTTCAGTTGCCTCAGTTGAGCATTTGTGCACCAATCACATTAAATGACTAACCAATCAGGTTCCTTAGTCAAGTTATTTTATTGAATTGATCTGATTGAACTAGAGAGAGAGAGAGAGAGAGAGAGAGAGAGAGAGTGAAGAAAATTGATGGATTATGCGACAAAAAAACTTCCTTTCTTCTTATTCTGAACTGAAAATATATATTACATATTTATACATACTCCCAACTCTCTAGATTAAGAATAACTCTAATATAGAAAAATTTTTGTAATTAAATCTCCTCTAATTAGGTTGTCCAATATCAAGTTTCATAATATAAAATATTTATATTTATGACTTTCCATAACACTCCCCCTAAACCTCAAGCATAGATATTTATCATACCCAGCTTGTTATACATATAAGTGACACAAACTCTATTAAGAGCAATGTGAAACTATCCCCCAGCTGTTCTCTAAACTTCACATGAGCCATAGAAGTTAGAGTCTGTTGAATCTTTTCACAAACAAAATGACAATCAATCTCAATGTGCTTAGTTTGTTCATGAAAGATAGGGCTCGAGGCAATATGGATTGCTTCTCGGTTATCACATCACAACTTTGTTGGAATTGTCATCTTAAAACCCATCGAAGTCAATAGCTGGGATACCTACATCAATTCACTCAAAACTTGTGCCACTGCTCGATACTAATATACAACACTAGACTGTGAAACTACATTATGTTTCTTACACTTCCATGAGACCAAATTACCACCAACAAAGACACAATATCCATTAATAAATCTTCGATCAATCTTGAAACTTGTCCAATCTGAATCAGATAAACATTCAATAATTTCATGCCCATGATCCTGATATAAGATAACTTGTTCAGGAGCTCCCTTGAGGTAGCATAGTATTTGTTTCAAAGCTGACCAATGATAGACAGTAGAGGGAGACAAACTTGCTTATAATACAAATTGAATACGCAATGTCAGGACAAGTTACTATGAGCTAGCTTTATTTTTTCACTAACTTCCCATATCGTTCAAGATCATTAATAAAACACTCGAAGCTTGTGTCACTGCTCGATACTAATATATAACACTAGACTGTGAAACTACATTATGTTTCTTACTCTTCCATGAAACCAAATTACCACCAACAAAGACACTATCCAGTAATGAATCTTCGATCAATCTTGAAACTTGTCCAATCTGAATCAGATAAACATTCAATAATTTTATGCCCATGATCCCGATATAAGATAACTTGTTCAGGAGCTCCCTTGAGGTAGCATAGTATTTGTTTCAAAGCTGATCGATGATAGACAGTAGAGGGAGACATAAACTCACTTATAATACTAACTGAATAAGCAATGTCGGGACAAGTTACTATGAGCTAGCTTAATTTTCCCACTAACATCCTATATCGTTCAAGATCATTAATAAAACTCTCCACATTTGGTAGTTCTGATTAGGAACCACCAGAGCATTGCATGGTTTGACCCTTAATTTCCCCATTTCTACTAACAAATCAAACACAACTTTTGTTGAAATAGAAAGACAAATTTTTTCTCCTTGATACCTTGATCCCGAAGAAGTATTTCAAGGAACCCAGATTTTTAATGCTGATCTAAATTTGAAAAAATGATTTCAATGAAAAGAAACCTTGCACACCGCTTCCAATAATAATAATGTAATCAACATAAAATCACCAATAAAAAGATTTTTGAAACATATTGTCTATAGAATATAATGTGATCGCTTCTATTTTTCTGCATCCCAAACCATTCTACAGTTTGAATAAATTTTTCACATGATGCTTGAGGGCTTTGCTTCAATCCATATAAGAACTTCTGAAGACGACATACTTTTGCAAACTCCCCCAGAGTGAAAATAACATAGAAGATTGCTCCATGCATACCACTTCCAAAAGATCACTATGTAGAAAATCATTCTTCACATTCAGTTGGTGCAAGAGCTCATTATTCATTGCAATCAATGATAGTAGTAGGGGAATCAAAGTCAATAAGTGAGTTTATGTCTCCCTCTACAGTCTATGAGCTAGCTTAATTTTCCAACTAACATCCCATATTGTTCAAGATCATTAATAAAACTCAAACCACCAGAGCATTGCATGGTTTGACCCTTAATTTCCCAATTTCTACTAACAATTCCAACACAACTTTTGTTGAAATAGAAAGACGCCTTTCTTGCTCCTTGATACCTTGATCCCCAATAAGTACTTCAAGGAACCCAGATCTTTAATGCTGATCTAAATTTGAAAAAATGATTTAAATGAAAAGATTCCTTGCACACCGCTTCCAATAATAATAATATAACCAACATAAAATCACCAAATAAAAAGATTTCAGAAATATATTGTCCATAGAATATAATGTGGTAGCATCTATTTTTCTGCATCCCAAACCATTCTACAGTTTGAATAAATTTTTCAAATGATGCTCGAGGGCTTTGCTTCAATCCATATAAGAACTTCCGAAGATAACATACTTTCGCAAACTCCCCCAGAGCGAAAAAATAGAAGATTGCTCCATGTATACCACTTCCAAAAGATCACTATGTAGAAAATCATTCTTCACATTCAATTGGTGCAAGGGTCAATTATTCATTGCAATCGATGACAATAGTAGGGGAATCGAAGTCAATTTAGCTACCGAAAAGAATGTGTCCCAGTAGTCGATTCCATAAGTTGAGCTCTTAGCAACCAATCGAGCTTTGAGATGAGCTACAAATCCATCAAACTGAAACTTAACTAAAGACCCACTTACAACCATCAGTCTTCTTAGCAGAAGGAAGTGCAATTAGCTCTTAAGTTCCATTTTCAATTAAGGCAGTCATCTCATCAAGAAGTCGATCCAAAAAGTTGAGCATAGCTCTCAGCAACAAATCAAGCTTTGAGATGAGCTACAAATCCATCATACTGAACCTAACTAAAGACCCATTTACAACCAGCAGTCTTCTTGATAGAAAGTAGTTTAACTAGTTTTCAAGTCTGATTTTCAATTAAGGCAGTCCTCTCATCAAGCATCGCTGATTGTCAACCAGAATGGGATAGGGCTTGCAAAACAAATCTTGGAACCTAAACATAATCAAGAGAAGCAACAAACGAGCAAGAATCATAAATAGGATAGACGTATTGATGCTTACCTCTTCAAAGAACAATAGGTAAATCAAGGTCACTGGAGGAAGGATCCACTGAAAAAGATGATACTGGCGTCGAACTAGGATAAGAGGAGCGGGGTCTTCTCAAGTAACAATACTAATAAGTGGTTTAAGTTGAGGTATTGAAGGTGAGCAAAATCTAAACTTATGATGTGATACATTAACTCAACAAAATTTTATGACGATTTAGACACCAACGAGTCACAAAAAAAAAGGGATTTGTTCATGAAACCTAACATCAACAAAAATCATGTACCTGTTTAAGAAAGGGGAAAACATCGATGCCCTTTCTACAAACAAGAATATCCTAGAAATACATGCCTTAATTAATTATGGTTCAGTTTAAAAAATTGGTGACAAGTAAATAACTGATGAAAATAAGAAAATATTGAAATCTATTAGATAAATAGGACAAGGACCCCACACATCAGAATCAACCAACTCAAAACTATACTTACTCTTTTATTAACTATTGGGACAAAATACAAACGATATTTAGCAGATTTATACGACTCACAATCTAAAGATAATAGTTGATGAAACTAATGGCGCAACTTTTTTTTATTTTTGATAGTGATAGATATCTTAATCAACAATAGATCTCAAAAAGCGGGTTGGAACATACTACAGTACATGTGCCTCATTATCTAAAATGCATTGTGATGGGCTATCTAAAACTCATGTAATTTTGCTAACATAAGCAAGATTAAAAACAAATTGAGATTTGCCTAGACTATAATTTAGAGGCAATGTGGGTGTAATATTGATGGTACTAGAACCAAGAATATTATAGGTAGATCCATCTACTAAAGTGACAGAAGACAAGTGCTAATGAAAAGTAGAAAAGAGTTCTGGATTACCTGTCATGTGATCTGCAGCATCAGAATTAACAACCCATTGTGTGAAAAAGGAAAGTAGATAAGCATCATTGTTACCTAACACAACAAGTGCGGTGATAGATGAGGATTTCTTGGATGCTTCATGAAATTTGATGAGCTTAGCATATTCATTTGCAAAAATCAAGAGAGTCCGACTCGAATAGACCTCATTAATAGTGACCATGTGAGCTGACCGTGATTTTGAGCAAATTCTAACCTGTTCTCTTTGTAAGACCAGGTTCATTTATTTTCATTTATAATCATTTAACTTTTAGCAAAATAATTGGTATCATTTAATGTGTCATCCATAAGCATAGCCACTGATGAAACCAAACTTGTCACAAAGTGTTTATTTTTACCAGTCATAATCGATGTCATTTAATGTTGAAGAACGAATTGCCACAGCACACTAGAAGACAAATAACTCGATGACCCACAGTTCAACGAACGCCGAATAAAAGAAAAAAATTGAATCGACAAATCAAAACATAACAATCAAGGAAACCGACCTAAGCAGACGAAGCAGATAACAAAACAAAGCACCCAAGGAAATTTATAGAAGCAGACATCAACTTCATCAATACCCTAATCTCGTCAACACAAATAAACCGGACGAAGCATATGTAGACGAACTACCATAAGATGCAAACGATGCTTCTAGATAAATGCAAATGATATTGTTTGAAGCATGCAAAATTGAAGGTGAGGTTGGTGTAGAAGACGTCATTCAAAGCAGACAAAGCCAAAGCCAATTCGAGCCGAAGACGAATGATGATGTCGCGGGAAGCAGACGGTGACGTTGACGAAGCTGAAACAAGCCTGAGCCAAAGAAAAAGACGAACGAGTCCCAACGGCTAACGTCGAAAATAGAAGATGCATATGGGAACAATTAGAAGAATTTCTGATACAATTTTTTTCCTTATTATCTAAAAACTTCTTTTCTTCTTATTCTCAATTGAAAATATATAATACATATTTATACACAATCTCAACCCTCTAGATTAGGAATAGCTCTAATATAGAAAAGATCCTCAAATAAGATGCTCTCTAATTAGGTTATCTAATATCAAGTGTCCTAATATACAAGCTTCCTAATCTACAAGATTCAAATGTATGACTTAAGAAGATTCTATTTTAAAAAAGTATTCTCAATTATTTTTGAAATTTAAAAATTTTAGAAAGGAAAAAAGCATATCATCCATTAGTTAAAATTCTTCTTTAACATATTTTTCTCCCTTAATACATTTTAAATATAAGAGAAAAAATAATTTAAAAAAGAAAAGAGGCTACTCAAGATATTATGAAACTTTAAACTCATTTCAAATCATTCAAAAGAGTGCATGAGAATTTGAAGAGATTATTTCAAATCATTTTTTCTTTCGTTGATTTTTGTGGGAAAAATTATTGTCCTTATTTGTTTACAGAACATGTGCCACCAAAAGAATAAAAAAAAATTTGAGAAAACCAAATTTTTAAATAAACCTTCGTACTTAATTGTATACATGAAAAATTTTAAGCAAAAGTCTGTTCCCTTTATTATGACATAATATAGAGTAGATTTGCTTGAACATATAGATAGGAGTGGAATACTATATAGATAGCAAGTTAATTAATCCCAAAATTAGATGAAATCATACATGGAATCTTCCATCAACAAAAATTTCCAAACTTTTTAGGCAAAGCAAAACAATAGTGAATTTATTAAAGATCTGAGCATTATTATTTATCAGACCTTACAAAAAACTTTAGTTTACCTGAGACATTTTAGGCCTTGCCTGAGGATCTCGCTGAATACATAGTGAAGCTGCATGCAACATGCAAACCACTTCATGTTCTAAGTAGCGATTAACCAAGCGTGGATCTATCAGCTCATCAATTGCATATTCCTCTAGCAGTGGACGAGCCTGAACACAAAAAGTGCACTAGCTGATTAAATTAAAAAAAGAGAAAAAAAATGTCAAAATGATCCCTTGAATCTTTATAGAGAGTCATTTTTGTCCCAGAGTTTATGGAAGTATCACTTTAATCCCTAGACTCCTTTAATATGGGTTGAAAGAGTCCCCAGTGAAGATAAATTTTAGCTCTTATCAAAACTAATTTAGCACTTCTATAAACTTTGGGACTAAAATGAGACGAGCCTGAACAAAAAGGACACTAGCTGATTAAATAAAAAAAAAAGAGAGAACTGTCAAAATGATCCATTGGCTCTATGCAGAGAGTCATTTTAATCTCAAAGTTTATAAAAGTGTCAATTTAGTCCTCGAAATCTTTTAATATTGGTTGAAATAGTCCCTACGGAAGACTACTTTAGCCCTCACTAAAACTAATTTAGCACTTTTATAAAGGGCTAAAATGATCCCATCTATATAATTCGGAACTATTTTGGCACTTTACTCGATAAAAAAATGTAATATTTTCATGCATACCACTCAATTCCTATGCATTTACACATATCTAGCACCTACACTTTTACTTTTTACATACATATACCACCTTACCTATGCATGAAAATATGAATTTCACTTTTTTTTAAAAATGGTGGTATTTTAGATGTGATAGGAAAGATTTTGATGTCTAGAACAAATAGAAGTGTCAATTTAATTCCCAAACTCTTCTAATGGAGCCTAAAATAGTCTTTTTTTTAAGGACTATTTCAATCCAATATTAAAAAAATATGAGGACTCATTTGATCCTAGCCTCCATAATAATTCATCCATTATTAGCTCAAGAAAAATACATAAATAAATAAATTCGCCACAAATAAATCAGAAAGAGTTATCCAGCCTAGAAATCTTGTTAAATAATTGTTTACTATTTCGGAAAATGAGGATTGCTCAACTTACCCATTCAGTGAGGCATTGCTCGCCCTTCGGCCTGTTAATGTCCATAGCTTTGCGTCCTGTTATAAGCTCTAATAATACCACACCAAAAGAATATACATCTGCTTTCTCTGTAATTTGGCCACTTTGAGCATACTCTGGCGCAAGATATCTGTAATTTAATAATGGGGTTTTAGATTTAATATTAAAATTACTATTTTTATTTTTATTTTTTACTTTTTAATGAGAATAAATACAACCCACTCGAGCTTGAAGATTACCCAAATGTGCCAATTACTCTGGTTTCTACACCAAGATCTCCATTTGGTTGCCATCTAGCTAGACCAAAATCACCAACCTAGAAAATTGAGAGTAGTGAGAACTTTAGCTTATTCATCTTTTATATAATGAAGCGACACTGATTATTTGATCACGTAGGATTTTCTAATATCTCATGCAAATTAACAGATTAAATTCTAAATTTAACACAGTTTTAGATGGATTTATTCATACTTTTATTGGCTATAATTGCCAAAAAAAGAATTAGAGATCTGATCATTTTGGCTATATGCCGGCATGAGTGCCCATTGATCAGAGTTCATGATGTCTAAAAACAAGAAATAAAATATTTCTCTGTGTAATTTAAAGGGGGTGATCCATGGCAACTCGAGGTAGAATTTAAATTAAGCTTTTCTTCAGGGTAACGCTGTTTAAGCACAAGTGCCAAAAAAGTCCCCTAATTGTTTGCATGGGGCTATGCTAATCCAAAGTCTATAAAAGTATTAAATTAGTCCCCAGATTTTTTAAATTGGGCCTGAAAATGTCTTTTGCGGGGATCACTTAAATCAATATTAAAAGGGTCTAGGACTAGATTGACGCTTTGACTGTGACTAAAATGGCCCCATGCAAACAGTCAAACTATTTTGGGACTTTTCTAATTTAACCACAAGTATTTGGAGGACAAATAAACAGAAATAGAGGACTGAAACATCCAAACTACATATTTAAAATTTCAAAGGTCGGAAGAAGGTACATTAAGGATGCAATTAAAAATTAATAATTGGAATATATGACCATGATTATGAGAAAATTAGTATTAAAAAAATCCAAAAAATGAATGCAAAGACTTGTATACAGCAACAAGTTGAATGGATCAGTATATTTTCAATCAAGACCGCCAAGAAGAAAATAAAAGCATATACCAGTGGTTCAAAATCATGGGTGATGAGGATGTTGTTTGGTCTCATGTCTCTGTGAACTATGCAACCAACCCTACACTCTTCATGAAGGTATCTCAATCCTCGTGCTGCGCCGACAGCAATCTTTTGTCGGGCGGGCCATTCAAGTGGTTCTCGATTACGACCTACAAATAAAATTAGTATTAGATGAATGCTATCTCAGATCAGAGTTGGGAGGTAATTTTGCAAAATGCTCGAGCTATTTACATGGATCTATGAGGTTATCATTGACATTATTCCGAAAGGTTTAATATTTACCACATAATTATTAATGTGTTTACATATCTAACACCTATAGTTTGATATTTACATTTATAACATTTTAGTTTTATAAACCCATACATGAGAAGTTGCATTTCACTTTTAAAAAATTAATAATTGTGCCATTTTTTATGAGATGTTGAAGATTTTAAGTGATATGCATCTAAATATCGAAGTCTAGGTGTTACGAAAATATATAAGAATTGTGTGGTGTGTATGTAAATGCCCCTCAATATATTCTAGTAACAGTGGAAATTTTCAAGTTAATACTCTGTACAGAGCATAAATACATGATATTCACAAGAAATAGTTTATCAATCAAGATTGAAAATAAAAGATTTGATAAATACTTTTCTTCAGTTAACAACAAGAGAACTATCATAGAGATGGAAGTTCAATGACCCATTGCAAATATTCATGAATTTATGAGGTATCATCAACATTATTTTGAAAGGTTTAGTATTTGGGAAATTTATATACATAACACACAATTCTTATATATTTAGATACCTAACACCTATAGTCTGATATTTACATTTTTTAACACTTTAGTCGGTTCATGTTATAAGCCCATGCAAGAAAAGTTGAATTTCACTTCAAAAAAGTTAGTAACAGTGGTCTCTTTTATTCAACGTTATTTGATGTTAGGTATTTGAATGATATGCATGTAAAATCAAACTTCAGGTGTTAGATATGCAAATATATAAGAATTGTGAGGTATGTATCATGTATGCAAATGCCCCTTGGTATTTTTCTAGATGTCGTTTCCCATTCTCAACCTAACAGCGGATATTATCAAGTTGATAACTTCATAACAAAAGTATAAATATATGATATTCACAATAAATAATCAAGATTGAAAACAAAAGATTAGATAAATCCTTTTCTTCAAGGAAGATTTACATATCATATCACTTAATTCTTGTGTATTTACATATCTAATGCCTAAACTTTAATTATTAACTATATGCCACCTTACCTAAATATTAAAAGCTGTATTTCACTTAAATTGTTAAAATAGTGGAATTTTAGATGTGATTTCAAAGATTCATGTGTCATAAATATAAAAAGTACAATTTAAGTGTTAGTTAGATATGTAAATACATAGAAATTGTTGTAAATACCCCTTTCTTCAAATAACAAAAAGAAAATTACCATAAAGATGGAAGTCCAACGACCCATTGCAAATATATTCATAAACCAACAATCTTCTTCGATCCTCGATGCAGAACCCAATCAACATAATAACATTCCGGTGCTGCGCACAGCTTAGAACTTCAACCTCGGCGCCAAACTCATGATCACCCTGCGAACTCGCTAATTTATGTTGCTTCACAGCAATGGCCTGCCCGTCAGGGAGGAGCCCTCTATGAACCGATCCAAACCCGCCCTCCGCCAAGAAGTTTGCCTGTGAAAAACCACCGGTTGCGAGTTCGAGCTCAGAGTAAGTGAACCACCTCGGAGGTTTTCCGAAAACCGGTGCCTTGTGCTGACATATCGAGCATAACGGAGGTGACACCAGCGTTGAATTTCGACCTCCCGGCATAGTTTCTCGCACGTCGCCACTAAAGTTCCACTCCGAACGAAAGTTCATTGTGCTTATTCGAGCTTTTCGATCAGGCGTAGAATATTTTTCGAGCAAACTTTTGGCTTTAGATATACGGGAATCATTAAGTCGGTGAGAGATTGCTTCAACATGCTTAGAAGATGATTGCCTGCCAGAGAGAATCCGGGCCATCCATGGCTGTAACTCGAGGGATGTCGAAGGACTCGGACTCAAAGTTTCACCATCAGAATCAGAGCTTGTTACATCCAAGTTTTGATTTTGCTTTACTTCCACCATTTCTGGTTTCTTAAGAAAGTTATTTGTTTCAGAGATAAAAAATGGTGAAGTTCCAGGATCTGAGCTTGATATTGAGGAAGTTCCAGCTTCCGTAGCTGTAAATGAGGTCTCTATTTCAGGGCTGCTTGAGGGAGTAACAGTAGGACCTTGAATGCAGGCTTGAAGGCTCTTTAAATCCTTCTTAACTTCTGTGGCCGATACATCAAACTCAAGAGGTGGAGTACACAGCTCAGAGGGCTCGGCCTCAGACGATCTTACAAGATTTAATCGAAGAACTTTTGGTTGGGAACGTTTCATGACGACTATGTTAGATTGAAGATCCTCTATGCAGTGCTTCTCCTCTTGTTTAAGTTGCCTGATGAAGCGCAGTTGTGTAACAATCCATAAGACCAAATATTAAGAAAAACAAAAGGGGTCTTTACATACAAACCACACCTAATTCCTATGTATTTGGATGTATAACATCTTCCGAGAAAGTCTCAAAATAATTCCTTAATTCTTTGGGGGGATCATTTTAAGTCTCATGGTCAATAAAAGTGTCAATTAAGTTCTCAAACTCTTTTAATATGGGTTCAAATAGTCCTTCAGCCCCAATTTAATACTATAGGGACTAATTTGGAACTTTTTTTTAATTCTGGGACTAAAATGATTTCATTTAACAGGCAGGGGACTATTTTTGTACTTTAAACTTTACGTTTTACATCTATGCCACACAAATCTTTCATATCACACAAAAAATATCACTATTATAACTTTTAAAAGTGAAATATACTTCTTGAGGCATAAATAAAGTTACATATATGTACAAAGTAAAGTTTAGGTGTTAGTTATGTGAATAAATTCAAATTGAGTGGTATGTATGTAAATCTTCCAAAACAAAGAGCATTTACATACATAACACACAATTCTTATGTATTTACATCTCACACCCAAACTTCAGTATGAACACACATAGCATACAAATCTTTAATATCACATAAAAAATAGCACTATTACAATTCTTTAAAAGTGAAATACGCCTTTTTCATGAATAGACTTGAAGCACCAAAGTGCTATGTATGTAAATACGAAAGTTTAGGTGTGAGAAATTTAAATACATAAGAATTGTCAGCTACGTATGTAATTTTCCCTATAACTTAATAAGGATAGATCCCTTTGCAAGTAAACTTCAGTTAAAAATATTACTTGTCCAAAACCACCCAACTGGCATTAGCTCTCTTGGATTCAGCAGCTACAACACCAGAAGGAGATCCAGATACAACTTTTACTTTGACATTAATCTGAGAGAAGGTGACATAAATGATAGCAGTTAAAAACATAACCTTCTAGAAATAAGAGAAAGGGGCATTTACATATATACCACCCAATTTATATGCATTTACATATCTAACAACTAAAATTTTCTTTTTACATTTATATAACTCAAATATTTCTTATCACATCAAAAATACCACCATTTTAGCTTTTAAAAAGTGAAATGCATTTTTTCATGCATAGGTAAGCTGGTATGTAGTAAAAATTGAAGTTTAGGTGTTAGATCAGTAAAAACATATGAATTGATATGTAAATCTTCCTAAGAAAAAATGTGACGGGAAAGAACTAACCTTATTTGGGTCGTAAACATCATGGAGTTGAAGCATCATTTGGGAGCATAGATATGAAATATCAGATTTCTGCTCTAAGGTAGTTCCAGTATGAGACCTCCTGTGACCACTTGCGCAGTCCCCAGCAAATCTAGGAAAACTCCACAGTTTCCTGCCTAAAAAAGGGAAAGAAAAGAAATTCATGGAAACCCAGAACCAAAAGATTGTATAATAAAACAAGCAAAAAAATGGAAGGAAGGTTTACACACATACCACTCAGTTTCTATGTATTTACATATCTAACACCTAAACTGCAATTTTCTTACATACATACTATCTTACCTTTGCATGAAAAGGTATATTTCACTTCATAAAAGTTAAAATTGTGATATTTTTTACGTGATATGTAAGATTTGAGTGGTATAAATGGAAAAAACAAAATTTAGGTTAGATATGCAAATTCATGAGAATTGAGTGGTACGTATGTAAATGCCCCAAAATGTAAATGAGATAAAAAATACAGGGGTATTTACATCCATTCCACGCAATTTCTATATACAAACATAACTAACAACTAAACTTTATTTTTTAAATTATCACCACCCATATCTTTCATATCACATCAAAAACACTACCATTTCAACTTTTAATAAGTTAAATACACTTTTTCATGCATTTGTAAGGTGGCATGTAACTAAAAATTAAAGTTTGTGTTAGATATGTAAATCTGTAAGAATTGAGTGGCATGTATGTCACTCGTTGAGGGTTACCTAACAGATCAGGAACAAAGCCATGTAAGCAAAATGATAATTTTAATCTAGTTCCTAGTTCTTAAAGGATATAAATTGGGGCTTTTTTAAATGATAATAAGATGGATCGAAACAAAAGATACAAAAAATGTGCATATTGATAATGTAACTCGTGGGACAATAAGCAAACATCTAAACTACTAAAATCTCTTCCCTTTAGAGGAAACTGGCCCAGTTTAACAGCATGATCCTAGAAATTTTAAAAAGGCACTTTCTTTCTCTAATTACGAAGTAGACTAAAAAAAAATTAAAAGCGCCTTCAGTTATGCCCAAAAAGCATTTTAAATGGAAGGAATAAGTACGGCCAACTATTAAAAAAAGTAAAGGGACGGTTAATAACCAACCCAAAAGCTTTTTACATGTTTTCTTTGGGCCTAATGAGCAATTACAGTAACACGAAGTAGGAAGCTTACCATCTGTATAAAGAAAAATAGATGGGGCATTTACATACACACCAACCAATTTCTATGTATTTACATATCTAACACCAAAACTTCATTTTTTTACATTTATACCACCCAAATATTTCATTCAATTTTTCATTTATAGGAAAGGTGGTATGTATGTAATAATTGAAGTTTTAAGTGTTATATATGTAAATAAATAGCAATTGAGTGGCATGCATTTAAATCTTCCAATATTAAATTCAAAATAGAGAGCAACGGAGGTTTGATTATGCTACCTGAACTCTGCAGCGGCATCACAACCAGAAGCGTTAAGCAGTCCCCAGGCTGAACAACATGAGTTAATGCCCATACCAGAGCATTCTTTGATATTTCCTTGGAAGCCTTAACGGCTACCACAACCTTCTCCGTCAAATTCAAACCCCTATCACCCTTCCCTCGCTTATTCTGAAATCCAGAGCTCATTCCCACAATCCTCTATTATCAAAGTTCAGATTTTAAGAGCTCAAAAGAAGAATCTCAACACTTAATCAACAACGGACGAAAGACAAGCTTTTTCCATCAATAACTCCCCAAATCCACCATTGCCAAATTTGCACATACGAGAGCAACTGTTTCTATCTCACTGAGCAATAATGGTGGGAGAGAAAAGACGCTTTTGGCCTATAACAGAGGAAAAAATGAAATCGCGCTCTGTTCTCCTTTTTTTTTCCTCTTCTAGCTTCCTTTATCTCCACCTGGAAATGATATTAAATCAATAATTTCTCAGTGACAACTGAAAGACCCTTCCTGGGTCCTCAAAAGACTATTCTTCGCTGGCTTTATCGAAACTCTTTCTTCCTTTATCTTCTCCGATGCCGATCCTGCTTCAGACCTTTTAAAAAGGACTATCAAAGCTGCCGATGCGTCTTATCCAACGTAGCCTCTGAGTTTTGTATCCAGTGAAGCATCAAAAGCAGCAGAAATTATAAAAAATCATAGGGTATCACTATTTTCGTAAATATGTCTAACAGAAAACGACAGAAGAAAAAGCCAGATCCGGGCCACCTGCGCAGTTACAACTCCCTAAAACCTTAATAAGTCGGACGCAAAAAGAAACCCTAATTAAAATTACGCAGAGAACTCACTATCACCACTCGCACTGAGACAAAAACACCCGACCCGTGATCCCTTTTACATGGCCTTCATCACTATCAAACTAGCTGGCTTTACTTCCAGCCATTTGTGCAGAACATAATAATAAGCCCAGATAAAAGTCGTCGCTGGAAACGCTCGACGGGTTCGACGTCAGTTGGCAACTTCTCCCTAAAATCCTCCTTAACAGCAATGGATCTCGCTTCTTTCTTCACGGCTACGAGAAACAAAAGCTAAGAAGAAAGAAGAGCTGTGCCAGCCATGAAACAACCGAGCACCATCGATCTCAGTCGTCAAACACTTATAAAACTTAACGGGTAGCGATCTCGAGGAAATAACGTGAAGAAAAGCTTAACCCTAACCCTAAACCTCAGACGAGAGGATTACCTGCAAAGCAAGACTGACGCGAGACGCCATCGATTTTAAGAAGCAAAAGACCTCGCCCAAATCTTCCCTCCTGCAACGACAGAGAACTGTCCCCATCCACCAGCTACGGCTACTATCCCCATTGGGCCCAAAATATTTTGACCCCATTTTTATAGGAACTATATGCAATTATCTTAAAATTTCGATAATTTAATATTAAATTTATATTATATATTTATTATTTTCAACTTTATTTATAACTTTATTTATATTTTTGTCTTTTCTGGAAAAGTTTATCGAAGTAGAATAATAATTTAACGTTTCAACGTTCCACTAAAATCTTACACATAATTAAAAACGAATATGATTAAGCATCATAAATGTATAGATTGAAACTCCAGACAAGGGAAAAACATCTTCATAGTTGTCAGACAATAAGTTCTCATACACGAGCATTCATAATGGTCTTCTTATTCTCTAAATGTTTTTTTTTTTAAACTAACGTTATCTTACCTTAAATCTCAAATAAGGGCATCATCTACCCAAAGCTTTCTCTTCAACTGCTAGCGACTGCGTCTTCAGCGCCTCCACCTAGGGATGTAAACTAATTGAGCCTGAGCGAGCTCAGCCTCGACTCGTTCGAATTTGACTCGTGTTTGAATTGGCTCGGATTTGAAATGACTCGTGAATATTGTGTTCGTGTTCGGCTCGAATAACATATTCATGTTCGTGTTTGGCTCAAAATTGGCCCGTGTTATTCCAGCAGTATTGAAGTTGTATTGTGGTGTTATTGGAGTTCAACCGTGGTGGTTATAAGTGCAAAGCCGAGGATTTATTGCGTTTGTATTAGGGTAGTATTGTGTTGTTATTGCGTGTTGTGGCGGTGTTATTGGAGGAGTTGAGGCGACAGTGTTATTGTGGTAGTATTAGGGTAGTAATGTGGTGTTGTTAACGTGAACTCTAGTGTTATTGCGGGGTTGTGGTGTTATTGGATGAGTTGTGGCGACTGTGTTATTGCAATAGTATTGTGGCAGTAATGTGATGTTATTAGCGTTAAACCATGATGTTATTGCGGGGTTGCGGCGGTGTTATTGGAGAAGTTGCGGCGGCTATGTTATTGCGGCAGTATTGGGGTGTTATTGGCGCGGAACCGTGGTGTTATTACGGGGTTGCAGCAGTGTTATAAGATGAGTAGTGGGATTGTGTTGTTGTGGTAGTGTTGGGGTAGTCTTATGGTGTTATTGGTGTGAAACTGTGATGTTATTACGGGGTTGTGGAGGTGTTTTTGGAGGTGTTGCAGTGGCAGAGTTATTTATTTATTTTCGAGCCAATTCGAGTCGAACAAAAGCAAATAAATATTTGTTCGTGTTCGGCTCGTTTTTATTTTGAGCTTAAAAATTTGTTTGTGTTCGGCTCGTTAAGCTTAACAAACAAACCAAACACGAGCAGCTTAATGAGTCGAACATGAGTTGTTCACGAACAACGAGTCAAACTGACAGCCCTACCTCCAACAAGTTTGCATTCCTCTTTTTTAGGTCTTCAAATTAAGACTTATTAGCGAAGTGTTACAGCTCTGTTAATCGGGAAATTAGGCAGGTATTCTCTAGTTGTAAATTTGGCAACTGCACTAAAGCCTAGTATTTTATGCTCTTAATTTTGTCATTTTTAGCTCCATTGATCCTAGTTTCTAAGTCACTTCATCGTGAGTTAATGATGATTCATTGTAAATCTTGTGATGGGACTAACATATTTAATATATATGCTCACAAGTGTTTGTTAGACTTTCTATCACATGAAAGTGAAATTGTCATCTACTTGCATGAGTTTGGGCTCAAAATTTAGATGTACTCAACATTGGCCCTAACAAGTAAGATTTGTTTGAATAAGACTCATTCATTTCTCAATTATAAGTTTGGTAAATAAAGGCCTTCGCCCTCGCTTTATTTTTCTGAAGAATCTTGTCATTTATATCAAATTCTTCTCAGTTATACATCTACAAGGAAGCCTTAGAAAGGGGAGCAGGGAATCTCCTATCCTCTGGCTCTACCATCAACAGCTTCAGACGTGGCTCTTCACGCATGACCACTTCTGCGATCGCTTTGCCTTTGTCTTATGACCGAAGGTTGGCCCGAATGCGGACTCAGGGAACAAATATAACACCAATCTCTAAGATTTTAACCTCCTTCTTAATCGACATGGTGCTCGCGGGAGGAACCAGGGGAGTATCGTCTAAACTCTAATCATCATCGAGCATTATGATTTCACTTGTGCTTGGTAAGTCATGTCACATCGGCGCCCCCCTTGTAAAATTCAACCAATTGGACCTCATGTTCTCGATAATCAATGTAGGAGGCCTTACACTTTTTTCTATTGCAGAAGAAGCATTTACAACAAGGCAAGGTGATCAGGTGGATATTAGCATAATTGAAATAAATAAAGAAGAAAATTACTCACCACACAATGAATTTCAGATAGCATGACGTAATAAAGTTTCCGACATCAAATTGTTTGTCCTTGACACAATAATAACTTAACACCTCGAGTTATAAGAAGCTCGATTCACTTATAGCCAATGTCATCAATGGAAGATGGAGTGTGGTTAAAATTTTTTATCTTTCTGCTATTCAAACAAATTAGGACTTTCATCTCCATTTTCAAATCTTATGATTAAGATCAGTGAAGTTCACTAAGACAGAGGTAAAAATTACCTTACCATTAGAATACACATTCAATGTCATCAGAACTCTAAAACAGGTTTATCGACCGATACAATTTTTTTTCTCGTAAGTATAAGAAAAGAGACATTATGATGATATCGAGTTGGGTGAATCTGCTCCAATACCATCCTATAGAAGTTTAAGACATCTTTTAATTCATCGCACAGGAAATTAGATGCCTAGTCTGAACCGATCATAATAACAACAAGTTTCACCTTCTAAAATTTGTCGGGTGCTTCATCATCTTTAGCCTCCCGGATATAGATCACTTTCTTGAAAACATATCTCTCTAATAGGCTTGTCATAGCAGATGACTTTAGCTATGATTTGGTTTTAATGTTTTAGGAGAAGAACAATCCATTACTTTCTTTCATCAAAAAAATTCTACCTAAATCGACATATGAACTTTTCTTGGAATTTACGGTGACATAGAAAAAAAAAGGCTTTGAAGCAGGAACACATCCAGAGGCACAATACACATCCCATAACGTGAAGATTTTTCACCAAAAAGAAGCACGACCGAATGAAAGAACATTGAGCACTTGCTATGAGGGATGATCATTTGCAATCGACTCCCAGGACCAAAGGGCACCCCATTGAAATTTTGTCTAATACTTTGTGAAGGGCTTTGTCCAAAGTAGAGCCGTCCATTAGATAACAACTATACACCCTCTGTCTGATGGTCTATGTTCACGCTCATGACAAAAGGGTCTCTATTGAAGATTTTCTTGAGAAGACCCACCAAAGATTATTCTGACAACGAAACTGTTATCGGACGACAAAATGACAATATCAACAGGTCAGTAAATGACCCTCTTCAAGTTGTTTTGAACATGAAACGGTGTCAACGTTAATTACAAATATTAAAGTGTCCCGAATTGAGTTACAAATTTGAAAATATATAATGATTACTTGTAACTTTTCTATTAAAACATGGATAAACACGTAGCTTTACTAAACGCCTCTATGATCCATAAATAAAATGTCATTTTTCCAAAATAATGAATTGACACTTTGAGAACTTGAGTTATTTTACACTTAATATTTTTCTTTTTCTCTCTTAATTCCTCTCGTCCTTCCAAAACTCTATTCCCTCGGTGGTATTCACAATATTTATTTATTCAACAATATATATATATAT